AAAAGTTGTAGTAGTAGTAGTAGTAATGGTAGTAGTAGTAGTAGTAGTAGTAGTAGTAGTAATGGTAGTAGTAGTAGTAGTAGTAGTAGTAGTAGTAGTAGTAGTAGTAGTAGTAGTAGTAGTAGTAGTAGTACTAGTGTTGGTAGTAGTAGTAGTAGTAGTAGTAGTAGTAGTAGTAGTAGTAGTAGTAGCAGTAGTAGCGAGAGAGAGAGAGAGAGCGAGAAAGAGAGAGAGAGAGAGAAGGAATCTCTTTGTATTCCGCTACAAAAGGAATTCTTTTGTATTCCGCTACAAAAGGAATTCCTTTGTATTCCGCTACAAAAGGAATTCCTTTGTATTCCGCTACAAAAGGAATTCCTTTGTATTCCGCCACAAAAGGAATTCCTTTGTATTCCGCCGCAAAAGGAATTCCTTTGTATTCCGCCACAAAAGGAATTCCTTTGTATTCTGCTACAAAGGAAATCCTATTTGATTTGTATCACTGCCTGGAAACCTTGTGTTTTCGCAGCTTTTTAGCTATTTTCAATGAAAAACATTGTTTTTTCATTGCCTGGCACAGCTCTTCAGCTATTTTTAATAAAAAATATTGTTTTTTCATGGCCAGGCTCAGCTATCTTAGCTTTTTTAATGATTTTCCAACTATGGCGTATTGGTTTTAATAAAAAGCTGTGAAAACACAAGGTTTTCATTGATTTTCCAATGGAAAATCAAAGAAAACCATGTGTTTTCACAGCTTTTTATTGAAATACATACGCCATAGTTGGAAAATCATTAAAAAAACTAACATAGCTGAGCCTGGCAATGAAAAAACAATATTTTCTATTAAAAATAGCTGAATAGCTGTGTCAGGCAATGAAAAAACAATGTTTTTCATTGAAAATAGCTGAAACGCTGTGAAAACATATTGCTTTCTTTGATTTTCGAATGAAAAAGCAAAGAAAACCATGTGTTTTCATAGCTTTTTACAACGTTTCTCATTGAAACTAGCAAAAAAGCTGTGAAAACACAGGGTTCCCTTTGATTTTTCATTCGAAAATCAAAGAAAAACATGTGTTTTCACAGCTTTTTATGAAAATCAATACGCCATAGTTGGAAAATCATTAAAAAAGTTAAGATAGCTGAGCCTGGCAATGAAAAAACAATATTTTCTATTAAAAATAGCTGAATAGCTGTGCCAGGCAATGAAAAAACAATGTTTTTCATTGAAAATAGCTGAAAAGCTGTAAAAACACAGGTTTTCAGGCAGTGATGCAAATTCAATAGAATTTCCTTTGTAGCAGAATACAAGGGGATTCCTTTTGTAGCGGAATACAAAGAGATTCCCTTTGTAGAGGAATATAAAGGAATTCCTTTTGTGGCGGAATACAAAGGGATTTCTTTTGTAGCGGAATACAAAGGAATTCCTTTTGTAGCGAATACAAAGGAATTCATTTTGCAACGGAATACAGAAAGATTCCCTGTGTGGCGGAATACAAAAGAATTCCTTTTGTGGCGGAATACAAAAGAATTCTTCTTGTGACGGAATACAGAAGGATTCCCTTTGTGGCGGAATACAAAAGGAATTCTTTTGTAACGGAATACAGAGGAATTCTTTTTGCGATGGAATGCAAAAGGGATTCCTTTCGTGGCGGCTTCCCACCCCCCACCTCCCAAGAACGACCCCCCACTCGACAACGAATGCAAAAAGCTTCGTTGTAAGGCACTCTGTGCCGAAATGGGTGTGCGGGCCGAATGCGGGCGCACCCACTCGGACCTTCGGGGGAGCTCCGCATGGGGCCACGAAACGCGTGAGGGGTGTGCCGAAATGGGTGTGCGAGACGCATGCGGGCACACCCACTGGGACCTTCGGTGGAGCTCCCTATGGGGCCACGAAACGTGTGAGGGGTGTGCCGAAATGGCTGCGCTGGACGCATGCGGGCACACCCACTGGGACCTTCGGTAGAGTTCCTTATGGGACCCCGAAGCGTGTGAGGGGTGTGCCGAAATGTGTGTGCGGGACGCATGCGGGCACACCCACTGGGACCTTCGGTGGAGCTCCCTATGGGGCCACGAAGCGTGTGAGGGGTGTGCCGAAATGGGTGTGCGGGACGCATGCGGGCACACCCACTGGGACCTTCGGTGGAGCTCCCCATGGGGCTACGAAGCGTGTGAGGGGTGTGCCGAAATGGGCGCGCGGGGCGCATGCGGGCACACCCACTGGGGTTTTCGGTGGGGCTCCGTATGGGGCCACGAAACGCGTGAGGGGTGTGCCGAAATGGGTGTGCGGGGCGCATGCGGGCACACCCACTGGGACTTTCGGTGGAGCTCCCTATGGAGCCACGAAACGTGTGAGGGGTGTGCCGAAATGTGTGTGCGGGACGCATGCGGGCACACCCACTGGGAGGGGGGCAGCGGGAAGGTGGGAACGCGTGACGCTTTCTCTTCAAAACGAGGACCCAACACCACAGGATGGTTGGTAAATCGATATCTTTAGTTGTCGCCTCTTGGGGCCCTCTTGGGGCCCTCTTGGGGGGCCTCTTAGGGCGATCTGGCGGCCTGTAGGGCCGTCTTGGGGCCATGTTGGGCGCCTCGGGGCAATCTTGGGCGTCTGGGGCGATCTTGGTATTATCTTGGACCGTTTTGGCTTGTTTTGGGGCTCTCTGCATCTCCATGACGCGCTCGGTCCGGGGTCGCCCCCGCCGAGGGGGGGGGGGTCAAATCTCTGGTTTGGGCCCCCCTGGGGGGGGGGATACGGGGGGGAACTTTTCGCGCGCTTGGGGACCCAAAAAGGGGTCGGCGGATTTTCTTTCATTTTTTGAATAGTTTTAAATTTGTTTTGGCTATATTGAATGTTTTCCTCCAGATCTTCTCTGTAGGAGGACATTTCCGACCTGACTCAACCGATGCAGACATGTTGCTCCCTTCCCGCCCCATGTTTTGGGCGCCGAGCGCACGCCGCGCAGCCAGGCCTTGTTTTTGGGCCGCGGCCCCGCGGAAAAACACCAGGGTGCTTTTGTGCGCGGGCGCCCCGTTGTCCCTGGAATCCGGACTGCACGGGCGCGGGTATGTGTGCGCTCGCTGCTGGTTGTATGTTAATGGCCCAAACTTCGAAGAATAAACTCATGTTTTTGGCGCCCGGCGATAACACGAGCGAGTTATCGGGCCCGCCCGCCCCTCCTCCCCCTCTGGGGAACTTGTCTGTTACGCAGATCCGAAGGGGGTACGCATTGCTGATGCGCGCGAGCGTGCGTGGGGCTGTGCAAAGCGAAAAGGTTAGGTTATCGACGGGTTCCCCCCCCCACCGACTAACCTGGCTTATCGCCGAAGAATAGGTAGACTTCAAAGAGAGAACAGGGCGCGAGCTAAACGGTGGTTGTGCGGTTTTGTGAGCCATGCTCGGTTTGGCCCCGCATTGCAGAAGGAGTCAAAACCAAAATGGAAAACATTATTTCGCTCGCGCCCTGCGGCGTAAACATCATGTCTCGGACGTCGTGGGCCCTCCCTTGGCTGCGCCTCCGGCGCCGCCCGTGGCGAGCTCCGCGCGCCTGGCGGAGAGACCCGAGCGGACCTCCGAGAAATATCGGAAGTGCTGTCTCGTTCCTCTGGGCTCCCCCTGCCCGCCCCCCCCGTTCCCCGGGGGGGGCCCGCCGCGCCTTTTTTCTCCCCCCCCCCTTGGGGCCCCACAGCCCGCCGCGCCTCACTCTCCCCAGACCCCCGACGTTTTTGTTATGTTTTTTTTTTTTTTTTCTCCATGTATACACATATATATATATATATACACATACGCATTTAAAAAAAACAACAATATAATATATACATATAACGGCGCACCGGGTCCGGGGGCCCGGGGCCGGGACCCCGACCACAAATGTGGGCCCCGGGGGGCCCGGAGGCTCGTCGGACCGCCGGACGCCGTCCAAGATCGTTCGCAGGCGGCTTCGGAACGCGCTCCGATGGCTCCAGATGCCTTCCAAGACGCCTGTCATGACACCAAGAAGGTCCCAGAAGCCTCCAAGACGCTCCGAGAGGCAGCCCAAGAGAGGCCCAAGAAGCAAAAATCGTGCCATTCCTATGGGAAAACGTATATTTTTTTCGCATGTTCGCCTCTTGGGCTTTCACCGCGTCCAAGACGGCCCAAGAGGCGCCCAAGACCGCCCCAAGACGGCCCAAGAAGCTTCCAAGAGGGCCCCAGGACAGCCCAAGAGGGCCCCAAGACGGCCCAAGAGGCGCCCAAGATGGCCCAAGAGGGCCCCAAGACGGGCCCAAGAGGGGGCCCAGAGGGGGACCACGAACCGCAAGCTCGAGCCTTCCGCCCCAAGAGGCCGCCAGGAGGCCCCAAGGAGGCCCCTCAAGAGGCCCCAGGAGACCCCCAAGAGGCCCAAAGGAGGCCCCGAGAAGCCCCAAATCGGCCCCCAAAATGCTTCGAACCTGCTTCCAGGAGGCCCCCGACAGGTTCAGAGGCTCCCGAGAAGCTACGTCAAACTCCCAGCGAGCGGCCGGACGAGCCCCCCCACAAAATCACAAGAGGGTTCCAGTATTTGTATCCTTCAGCGCTCTCTGGCCTTCTTCCCCCTGCCCCCTTCCCCGCGACTTCCGTTGACTCAAGCTCGCCTCCTAGCTAGAACCGAAGCGCGCGCGAAGCGCGCGCGTGGTTCTAGCATACATATATTTATGTCAAGCTCATCCAGAGTCGTGTTTTGACGGTCCCGAGGGACGGTCGACGGGAAGGCTTCCCAGAGGCCGACAGTTTGGACAAACAGAATCCGCAATGGATTTCTCATGGCCCGAGGGGGTCTGGATCCCCTCCGCCCCTTTCGGTCGTGCCCCTCCATCCCCCCCCCCCCCCCCCCGTGAACCCCTTCCGCCCCTCGGTCGTGCCCTTCCGCCCCCTCGGTCGTGCCCCTCGTCGTGCCCCCTCCGCCCCTCGATCGTGCCCCCCGAGGGGGTCTGGCCCCTCCGCCCCTCTCCGTCGTGCCCCTCCCTCCCCCCCCCCCCCGTGAAGCCCGACGGCCCGCCGCGGCAGCACGGGCCCCGTTCCGCCGCGGGCCCCCCCCCCCGGCGGAGCGCCGCGCGCCCCGCGCGCGCCTGGAGCACCTTGCGAGGCGCCGCGCCCCTCCTCTTCCTCCTCCTCTTCCTCCTCTCCCCTCCTCCTCCTCCTCCTTCCTCCTCCTCCTCCTCCTTCTCCTCCTCCTCCTCCTCCTCATCCCTCCTCCTCCTCCTCCACCTCCTCTCGCTCCTCCTCCTCCTCCTCCTCCTCCCGCCTCCTCTCCGCTTCTCCTCCTCCTCCTCTTCCTCCTCCTCCTTCTCCTCCTCCACCTCCTCTTCCTCCTCCTCATCCCTCCTCCTCCTCCTCCTCCTCCTCCTCCTCCTCTTACTCCTCCTCCTCCTCCTCCTCTTCCTCCTCCTCCTCCTCCTCTTCCTCCTCCTCCTCTTACTCCTCCTCCTCATCCTCCTCCTCCTCCTCCTCCTCCGTAGCTATTTTGGCTCAGGCTTTCCTCAGAGCCCGATGGGATTCGAAAAGGGGGGGAGTGCCCGGCAGCTTGGGCTCGAGACACTATATCCGCGGGAGAGCGCGGCGGGCGTCCCGGCGGGGCGGGGGCGGAGGCGCTGCGGCGATCGGCGTGCCAGCCATGGACCGACCGAGGCGTGCTCGTGCTGCGAGCGCCTGGGCGCCGGCGGTGCCGCCCGCGGCTCTGGCGAGGCAGCCTCGGCCGGCGCCCCGTGCGCGGCGCGGTGGAGGAGTGGCAGGAAGCGCTGCCAAGGCCAGGCAGGTTGCGCTGCCGGAGGCCGTCGACGAGAGCGTCGAGGAGATGGTCCACGTGCACTCCAGCGTGTTTGACTCGGAGGTGATGATGATCGAAGGGTTCCTACTGTGCCTGGTTCTGCGGGCTTCTAGGTTCTCCATTGGCGAGGCCGAGTGCGACGAGGCGCAGCTGCAACTCGACTTCGCGTTCGAGTTGGCCAACATCGGTTGCGAGATTCAGGCTTCGCATGTGAAGATCGGCGATGCGGACGTCGTGGCCTCGAGGAGGAGAGAGAGAAGAGGATGGACGAGGGAGCAGCAGGGGAGGGGCAGGGAGGATCGGACGTCAAAGACGGAGGAAGTGGGGGAGGGGGGCGAGGGCGGGGAGGGGACGGGGGAGGAAGAGGAGCATGTGGTGTCGGGGGTGGCGAGGTAGGATGTCGGGAGGGAGGAGGAGGATGGGAGGAGGAAGAGGAGGAGGAGGAGGAGGAGGAGGAGGAAGAGGAGGAGGAGGAGGAGGAGGAGGAGGAGGATGGGAGGAGGAGGAAGAGGAGGAGGAGGAGGAGGAGGAGGAGGGGGAGGTATGAACAAGTGAGGAGCCGTGAGGGACAGTGAAGAAAGACCAGAGGGATGAGGGAGGAAGTTGACTCTGGGCGTCTTGCGGGGGCAAAGAGAGATGAGCTGCGGCAGGAGGGATACGTACCTACGGGAGGGAGGAGGCAGGGAAGGGAGGCGGGAGGACGGGGGAGGGATGGAACAAGGAGGATACCTGAGGTTGGGTGGTGAGTTCGAAATGAAATGGAGACCCCCCGCCAAGAACTTGGTTTCGGCTTCGTGTTCGTATCGTGCGCGCGTGCGGGTGAGGCGGGCTGCGTGGGCGGGGAAGAAGAACAACAAGCCGCCGTGGCTAGCGCGACACTGAGCTCAATGACTCTACCCACCCCCCAGCTGGCCGGCGGTGGCTCGGGGGTCTCGCGGTGTCCCGTGGTGTCCCGTGGCGCGGTGTCCCGTGGTGTCCCGTGGTGTCCCGTGGCGCGGTGTCCCGCGGTGTCCCGTGCAGGCGCGTATCTCAACGGTCATTCTTGCCAAGGGCCCTTCATTGCGTGCAGCCGAGGGGATCGAAGAGGCTGGGAGGGCCAGGGCCCCGAGGGCTAAAACAGAAATCGCATCCTCGTCCGGTGGTTGGGCTCTCTGCTCCTCGAGCCCCTGCCCTCCGCAGCTGCTCGCCCCGCTGCTGCCGCTGCCGCCGCTGGCCCTGTGGCCTGGCCGCCGGGGATGCCGCTGCTCTCCTCCCTCCTCCTCCTCCTCCTCCTTCTCCTCCTCCTCCTCCTCGTCGTCCTCCTCCTCCTCCTCCTCCTCCTCCACCTCGTCCTCCTCCACCTCGTCCTCCTCCTCCTCGTCCTCCTCCTCTTCCCCCTTCTTCCCTTGAAGCTCGCTGAGGGGCAGCGAACGCGATCTGTGTTGCTGGGGCGACGGGGGAGAGGGCAATGCTTTTGTAGGGCAAGAGCAAGCATGAGCAGCCCAATCGTCGGCAAGAGCAAACCTGAAATCAGAGCTTCGCGCGAAGGGCGGCTGTAAGGATTGCTGTTGACCGATCAAGCGCGCCCGCCGAGCGTACGGGGATCTGGCCCTGGAAACAACGCTGCCCCCCCAGCGACCTTCAATCCTCCTCCTCCTCCTTTTCCCCCCCCCCCTCCTCCTCTTCCCCCTCCTCCCCCTCCTTTTCCCCCCCCCCCCCTCCTCCTCCTTCTCCTCCTCCTCCTCCTCCTCCTCCTCCTCCGCCTCCTCCTCCCCCGCCCCCTGACAGGCGGCGCCGCCGCCGATACCACGCCAAAATGGTTGTGGACAAAAGGCAGCTGGTGGAAAACGGCCCCGCCGAGGTGATCGAGGCCCGTGCGCCCGAAGCCTTGTTCGAGCTCGCCCGGGCCAGTCTCGCTGCAGCGGCCGCCGCCGTCGCCGCGCTCTCTCTCTCTCTCTCTCTCTCTCTCTTTTTTTGTTTTGTTTCTCTCTCTCTCTCTCTCTCTCCGAGGAGAAGGCAGAGGCCACCGAGGGCGGTGCCACGCCTGCGTGTCGTCCAGTTCTGGGCGACGCTCGGGCGTGTGCTGGGCGACGCTCGAGCGCGCCGCCAGTTAGAAACGGCAGGGCCGTTTTTGTTCCGGGGTTCCGTGTCGCCGTTTTTGTTGCCGGTTCCGGTTCCGGCTCCAATTCCAGAGCCGTTTTGTTCTCAGTTTCCGCATGCCGCCTTTTTGTGAACCGCTTACATGTTCAGGAGTCAAGAGATTTTATTTTGGGAAGCGAAGGCAAAACAACAACGGTTTTCTTGTTTCTGGGACCCGCTACTAAGGCCGCCGCCCCCCGATGGGTTCTCGGTGGCCTACCGCCGCCGCTGCGCTGTACAGGCCAATCCGGCGGCCCGACGCCAGAAGCTTTCCGAGCCGTTTCCGGCAGTCCCTGGGGCTGGCCCCCGGCCCCGAGGCCGCCAGAAAGGGACGGAGCTCGGCGCGGATGTTTGCTGCATCGGCGCTGTGGAGCTCCTGGCGCGCTCGCTCCGCGCCGACCCGGTGAGGAGGGCCCAGAGCACTGACTTCCAAGCAGTCCGCGCGGACCCCGATCTGACAGTTTACGTGTATGCTAAAGCCGGGCACGTCTCCCTACAGGAGGGAGATAGTCAAAAGATAGTATGGGGACGTTTTTGGGGGCATTGTTCGGCTACTTACTTAGATTTTTGTTTGTGGGCATTTTATTTATCGTCCGAAATCCGCCTGTAGGCGGACATGCCCGACCTCAGTGTATGCATTCGTTGCTCCTCTGAGGTCGTGGGGCCGGCTACGCGATCAAGGTCAGAGTGAGGGATCCGAGCGGTCATTGATTTTCCTTGGTTGCGTGGCTGAAGTGGGGATCCGTGGTGGGGATTCTGCTTGAATTTTCAGTTCTGAAGAATAATAATTGTTGATCCCCCCGCACCGGTGCATACTGTTTTCTCTCAATCGAAGTGTGCCCCTCGACGCTCGCACCTGGTTTTTTGACAGGGAGAGTCTTGGTGCTCAAACTGGGCCCCTGCCCCCCGGGATTACAACAACAACGGCTCCCGCTTGAGACGTCCTCCAAATTTGCTCACGACCCCCGCTCCTGAGAATTCTTTACAATTTTCTCAGGATCGGTGCTCCCGCCTGTGACTTCCTCGCAATTTAGTAAGGACCCCCGCTCCCATCTGAGACTTCCTCACAATTTACTCAAGAACGGCGCTCCCGCTTGAGACTTTCCTTGCAATTGAATCAAGACGTCCTCGCACTTTAATCAAGACCCCCGCTCCCGCCAGAGATCCCTTCACATTTGATTCAGGAATTGCGCTCTCGCCTGTGACATCCATGCAACGTATTCAGACATCGCGCTTTCGACGCTCAGGAAACACGCTGCGCCAAGGACGCCGTTACAGTTTACATAGCAATCGCGCTCTCACCTACTCAGGCATCCCGCTTGAATGTCACACCCGCCCGCCACGCCCGTCAGAGGATCGCCCGCCCGTCGTGGACTCCCGCCCGAGACTTCCTTCAGGAACGGCGTTTTCGTCTAGGACTCCCTCGAACGTTCACGCTCTTACCTTCCTGCTCCTCCTCCCTCTCCCTCCACTCCTCCCTTCTCTCTCCCTCCTCTCTTCCCTCATCCTTCAGCCTCTCTGCCCTATCCTCTCTCCCTCCTCTCACTCCTCCCTTCTCCCTCCCCTCTCCTGCCTCCTCCCATTTTTTTGTTTTCTCTCTCTCTCTCTCTCTCCTCTCTCTCTCTCTCTCTCCTCTCTTTCTCTACCTCTCTTATCTGTCTTATTGTTTGTGGTTCTCTCTCTCTCTCTCTCTTTTGTCTCTCTCTCTTTCTCTTTCTCTGCCTCTAATCAACCGCCCCCCTCTTCGCTCCTTCTCTCCTGGCGTTTTCCCTCTTCCTTCGTCCCTCCCCCCCCCCTCCCTCCCATTCTCCCTCGTTCTCCCCCTCCTTTTATTGCAGGGCCCACACCAATTCCAATGGCGGGTACATGTACGCCCACGAAGGATTGTCCGCCCGTTCAGGTTTGCCCGCCTGTCTAAGCCCGCCGCCCCCCGCATAGAGAAGCAATCTTCCAAAGGGGGTGTGATCGAAGACAAAAAGGGCGGGTATCGAGGGTGTGGGGAACTCGTTTCAAATGACACGCGGGCAAATCAGAGCGAACAGTCTTAGAATGATTGTTGTTGTTGTCGTCGTCACCCCCGCGACCCGCCCGCGACCCACCCGCGACGCACCCCGCGACCCAGCCCGCGACCCAGCCCGCGACCCACCCCGCGACACACCCCGCGACCCATCCCGCGACACACCCTGTGACCCGCCCGCGACCCGGCCCGACACACTCCCCGCGACCCACCCGCGACCCACCCCGCGACCCACCCCGCGACCCACTCCGCGACCCACCCCGCGACCCACCCCGCGATTCACCCCGCGACTCACCCCGCGACCCACCCCGCGACCCACCCGCGACCCACCTTGCGACCCACCCCGCGACCCACCCCGCGACCCACCCGTGACGCACCCTGCGACCCACTCCGCGACCCACCCCTCGACCCACCCTGCGCCCCCCCCTCGATCCAACGCGACCCACCCGCGACCCATCCGCGACCCGGCCCGCGACCCACCCCCGACCTACCCGCAACCCACCCGCGACCCACTCCGCGATCCACCCACATTGCTTTCACTAAAAAATCTGTGCCTGCGGCGGGTCATTGCATAATTTGTATAAGTTTGGCGCCTGCGGCGGGCTTCTTCGGAGCCTCGCAGACTGACGACGTCCTCGCCGCCTCCTCACTCTTATCTGCGATTGCGGGGTGCTACGTATAATTATCGAGTCTCGCTGGAGTCCGTCTGCAGGCCCGCGCCGCCTGCCGCCCCCGCCGGATCTCGACACGGTGCCCAGAAGTCGTGGCTTGGTTTTGGCCCATCTCCCAGGGGCAACGCTACAGTGGAGGTCAGCCCACAAGAAGTCGACCTGGAGTCGAGATACAGTCCACAGAAGGGTGTGGGAAACGTGGACCTGGACTCGGCGATACAGTGGAGGCCCGACCACAAGAAACCCTCCACAAGAAACCCAACCCTGAGACCCCAGGACGTCCATGGATTTTGTGGCGTGGGCACGTCGCGCACTCCGCAGAAAAAAAAAAAACCATTGAGGCCCAGGAAACCCAGGGTACCTTGGAGGCAAGCAGGGTGTTCCTTGGCATTGGCCCCCACGCTAGGGGGGGAGACACGCTCAGAGGGGGACGCCTCGAGCTCGCGCCGCCCGACGGATCCGCCATCCAGAGCCCGACGGCGCGCGGAGCGGCGCGGCGGTGGCTCCCCGCTCCGCCCAGGTGGGGCCCTCCCCGCACCAGTGCCGGGTAGATGCCCGAGGGCTGGACCTAAGCGTTGTTTTGCTGGGCTTCGGCCGTGTTTTGTTTTTCGTTCCGTGGCATGGCGGTACAGGAAAAGAACCGGTAGAGAGCAAGACGAACAGCATAACGAAACCAAAACGAACAACGACGTCCAGGTCCAGCCCTGTCCGGCGCCCCCGCGGGCCTGCCATGGGAACTCCCCGAGGCGCCCTTCGGCCCCGGGACCAGCCAGCCCTCGGGACCACATTTTGGAGGGTTCCATCGGGGGGTTCTGCGGAGGGGGTTTTCCAGGAGGGGTCCCCCAGGGGCTTCGCACCCCCTGTTTTGACGAGGCTCCGAGGCCCCCCTGGGGGGCTCTCTGGAAAACCCCCTCCCCCGAAATCCCCTTTGGAACCCTTCGGCGCACCGGGCAGGCTGGAAGGTCCGGTCCCGAGGAGCGTTTCCAGGGCCTTCTTGGGTCGGGGGCGGAAAAGAGGGGGGTGATGACTAGGGGGGGGGTGGATATCATGGCGGGGGCCATGATATTTCCCCAGATTTCATGGCGCCTCTTCTTATTTCATTACGTCCCTGGCCCCCCCGCTGGGCCGCGCACATGCCGCCGGTCATGATTTGCCCCCCCCCCCCCCCCCCCTCTTGGACACCCGCCTCTTGGCCGCTCCCGATGGGGAATTCGTCACGCAGCGATCTGCGGGGGCGCCGAGAGCGCCTGTGAATCTTGGCCGTGCGGGGTCGGGGGGTCGTCAAGCGCATGCGCAGTACAGTCAGCATTGAAGGCCAAGTGTTCTGCAGATTAAAGATTTACCCACCGGTCGGAAGAAGTAGGTAGAAACATGAAGTAGGAAGGCGTTGGGAATAGATTGGGCTTCCGCCCGCCTCCCGAAGAGGAGGGAAGAGGGAGAACCACTCGACTCTTGAAGTAGGAAGGCACTGAAAGTAGATTGGAATCTGGGAATCCACAAATACGTACTTTCAATGACCGATGGGTATTGATGCGATGATGTCATCCCGCTCAGTGCCTACAACACGGTGCGCATTCGGAGAACCCCGACATCCGATCACATTTTTTGGGGGCAGCGGGGCTCCCCAAAGCTCTGGACCCCTTCCCGCGGACCAGCTTTTCTGATCCCGAGTCGTTTCTGGCGGCCCAGGGACTCGGTAAGGGCCCCCGGGCACCAAACCTGGGAACATTTGGGAAAGGCACCCGTCGTGTTTCTTGCACGACGCGAAGATGTCAGGGGAGGAGGGGGAAGAGGAGGAGGAGGAGGAGGAGGAGGAGGAGCAAGAGCAGGAGGAACAGGAGGAGCAGGAGGAGCAGGAGCAGGAGCAGGAGCAGGAGCAGGATCAGGAGCAGGAGCAGGAGCAGGAGCAGGAGGGACGACGACGACGACGATGACGACGCTGGCGTCGGCGGGTGCGGCGGCCGCGGCCGCGGCCTCTTGCAGCCCTGCGACATCGCCCTCGGCCGGATGATTGGCACCGGCAGGAGCCCTGCCTCCCTGCCCTTCTTTCACAAGAGCGACCTTTGGGGCGGGCCCACCGGGGCTTCCCAATCGCCGAACACGATGGGATTGCATCGAAGACGGGAAAACGGCATACGCATCAACTTTTGGCGCTCCGCGCGGATTTCGTGGATCCGCGCTGGGCTCCCCCGGCGGCGCCTTTGGCGCTGCTCTTGGCGCGCTCCGCGCGCTGGGGTGAGGGTTTCGTCGCGAATCCAAGGAAACAGCGCGGACCTCCAACAGTTTATGTGTATGTTGATTTGTTTTTCCTCTATTGTAGCGTCTTGCGCGCTGTTTGGTCTTCCCGCGGCTCGCAAAAAACCGCGCACCAAAGGTCAACCCTTACCCAGGGTCACTCTTGCGTGTAGCCTTAAGTCGGGCCTGCCCCTCTACAGGAGGAATATCCAAAATTACCCCAGTGCGACCCTACCTAGAAGTTGGAGCCCCGAGGAAAGCAACATTAGTTGCTATGCTATGCTATGTCATGCCATGCTATGCTATGATATGCTATGCTATGCTAAGCTGTGCTAAGCTATGCTATGCTAAGCTATGCGATGTCATGCTGTGCGGTGCTATGCTGTGCTATGTTATGCTACGCTAAACTGCGCTATGTTACGCTATGATATAATATGCTATGCTACGCTATGCTATGCTGCGCTATGCTATGCTATGCTATGATATGCTTGGCTGTGTTATGCTATGGTATGCTATGCTAATGCAGCGCTGCGCTATGCTAAGCTAAGCTAAGCTCAGCTAAGTTAACCCTGTAGGCAGAGCCTAGGTAGGGTCGTGCTGTGCTGTGCTGCGCTATGCTATGCTATGCTATGCTATGCTATGCTGCGCTATGCTATGCTATGATGGACTATGCTATGATATGCTATGCTGCGCTATGCTATGTTACGCTATGCTAGGCTATGCTCTGCTATGCTAAAGCTCAACGAAGCTAAGATGAAGATTAGCTAAGCTAAGATAAACCTGAGCTAATATGAAGCTAATCTATGCTAAGATGAAATTTGCTAAGCTAAGATGAGATAAGCAACGCTAAGCTAAGGGGACGTAACTTGGGGAACCGCGGGGCGGATACTGGGGAACCGCCCGGGGCGCTTTCCACTGCCTGGCCCCTTTAAGCCCAGAGAGTAAGAACCCTTCCAGGCAGAGCCTAGGTAGGGAAATAGTGAAAGCATAACGTGGGGACGTTTTTTAAATAGTATGTTTGAATGTGTGTGGCATATGTGTTGACTATTTCTTGCTTTTCGTCCAAAATCCGCCTGCTGGGCGACATGCCCGACCTAAGGCCCACCGTTTCACTTTGGGGGCAACGACAGGGGCGGAGGACGCCCCGGGAGGGGGGGGGATACTAAGAGGAGCGAGAAGTGTTGGGGGCGGCAAAGAGGGAGGTGTTGACTAGGGTTAAGTCGGGCCTGTCCTTCTACAGGAGGAATGTTCAAAAATAGTGAAGGAATAGTCCGGGGACGATTTTTTGAATATGCTCGGAGTGTCGTTTGACTATAACTTAAGGCTCGTCCAAGATCCGCTTGTAGGGGGACATGCCCGACCTAAGAACTGAAGACTAAGTAGGGGGGGGGTCATGGCGATATTTTGTCCAGATTTCGTGGCGCCCCCTCTTATTTCATTACGTTCTGACCCCCTCTTGGGCCGCGCACGTGCCGCCGGCCATGATTTGCGCCCCCCTCCTCCTGGACGCCCCCCTCGTGGCAGCTCAAGAGGTCCCCGTTTTGCGTCTGTCCCGCTCGGCCAGAGGCGAATGACCTCCTCCTTCGTTCGGGGGCAAGGTCAGGGGGGGAGGGGGGATGCCCCGGGTGGGGGTAGTTCCTTGGAGGAGGGAGGAGTGGCGGCAATGGTTCGTTCAAGATGTCCTAGTGTTGCTGTCCCGCGCGGCCGGAGACGAACGACCGAGTTCTGTCTAGAAGCCCTGAACCTCCAGAACGTGTCCTGAGCCAGTAGCTTCATGACCTCATGTTTCGTCGCAGGCAGGTACAGTCAAGCCGCATAGTAAGGATGGGCAACCTTCCCAAGGGTACCCTTGCATCCTTGCCTCCTCGGCCTATCCTTGGCCGCTTTCGCTGGCCGCGCCCCGCTCGAAAAGCTTCGAAATGGGCATCCAAGGCCCTTGCATACTTATCGCGCATCCTTACTATACGGGTTGACTGTAGTTCCTGGGAGGAGCGAGGAGTGGCGACAATGGTTCCTTCGAGATGTCTCAGTGCTGCTTCTGTCTCGCGCGACCAGGGACGAAGGAACGAGTGCGATTGGCTAGAAGCCCCGGAACTTCCAGAACGTATCCTGAGTCTGGCGTTCTGTAATGGGGGGTCATAAATGGGAGGGTGTCGAGGGTGGTCCGAAAAGGTACCCAAACGGTACCTGAACGAGCCCCCTGGGGTTCCAGAAGGGGCCCGGAGGGGCACGAAAGAGGACCGTTTCTGACCCCCCCACTTGTCACCCCCCCTATTAAGCCACGCCCAATTGAGCCAGTCGCTTTTTGACATCATTTTGCGTCGCAGGCAGGTGACCAGCCGCCGCCGATCGGGCACGGGAGCGCGCGGCGTCTCCGCCACGGCCTTCCCTCAAAGCTCCAATTCAGCCCTTCTCCGAAGTCTGGGCCTCCTGGATGGGGTCGGAGTAGATGGGGTTGGAGGATCGCGCCGCATCGACGATGCATCGACGATGCGGCTCGATGCGGAGCCCGATTTGCTTCACGCCGACGTCGCCGACGCATCGCCAGCGTCGCTGGTGCATCGCCAAAGCATCGCGGATGCATCGGGGATGCATCGGCGATGCGGTACGATCCTCCGGCCCCATCTACTCTGACCCCATCCAGGAGACCTCTAAGTAGCCGGCGGGACTTCTCAGAAGCCCTCGCGCCTCCTGAGAAGTTGTGCCTGCCTTGGGGGAAGGCTCAGAAAGCTTCTCGGAAGGCCGTGGGACTTCGAACATTCTGAGCAGGCCTTCTCTCCTGTCGTCCTGCTCTCGCTTACCGCCGAGTCTCCCCCACCCCGTCCCCCCGCGCGAACCGGCCTCCCCGCAGCGATCCCCCCCCTTCCTCCTGCGGCGGCGCCGGGCGGTGGCGGCTGCGGCGGCAGGGGGTGCAGGCGACGGCGACGATCGAGGAGGAAGTTGAGGAGGAGGAGGAGGACGAGGAGGACGAGGAGGAGAGGAATGAGGGAGGGAGGACGCGAGCAAAGCCAGGACACATCGAGGAGGAGGAGGGGGAGGAGGAAGAGGAGGAGCGTCTGGAGGACGAGTTTTTGTCAATGTTTTATGTGTTGTTGAATTTGGTTTGGCTACTTTCTATGTTTCTCCCAAGAACCGCCCGTGGGAGGACATACAAGTAGGCATCAAGGAACGAGGTCTTCGGATGCCTCCAGGTTTCTGTGAGCCGCCGTGGGGGACCTCCTTGGCGACCTCGGGCCAGGCTTCGAAGAGCCTCTTGAGACGGCGCGGCGACGAGGACGACGACCACGGCGCGGCGGCGGCAGCGGCGGCGGCAGCTGCGGCGCAATAAGGCCGCCGAGCAAATCATTAGTTACCCCCTAGTGGGAGGGGGTTCTAAATTACCCTTCGCGGTGAATGGGAGTCAAGACGTCGAAGCTTGGCACAGGTCGTGTTCGGAAGGGGCGCGTTCGATGTTCCTTGGGTCCTTCAAGGGCGTGTGTTTCCGCTGGCACCCGGGCGCTGATTGGGGCCCCAGGTAGGCCTTGTCCCACATGTAGCGTTCCCTATGGTGTTGGCTGGAGCGTAGAACGATGAGCACTGGGAGGTGTGGCAGAGGGTGCTGTCGGTGGTTGTGGTGGTGGTGGTGATATGGTGGTGGTGGTGGAGGTGGTGATGGTGGTGGTGGTGGTGATGGTGAGGAGGAGGAGGAGGAGGAGGAGCAGGAGGAGGAGCAGGAGGAGGAGGAGGAGGAGAAGAAAGAGGAGGAGGAGGAGGAGCGAGGGAAGGGGGGGGAAGACAGAAGAGCAAGCAAGGGGAGAACGACGAGGACGAAGGGACGGGGATGAGTGGGGGCAGGGAGGGAGGGGCAGGACAAGAGGGCTGAGGAAGGAGGGAACGGGCGCCGGAAGGCGAGGATGAGCAGGAAGGTGTAGGAGGATGGATGGTTTTTTTTGGATCCGTCGCATCCCTCATCCTTCTCCTTTCTCGTAACCGTCATGACGAGGATGTCAACGGTTGGGATTTCATGAGAGCCCAGGTGATGTTCACGAAAAGAGATTGTTACGAAGCAGTTCTGTTTCTGGCTCGCACGCGTCGCGCGAATGGGCGGCGAATGCGGAGCAGGGCCTCCTTGGGACCCGCCGCGCCCCCAATGACGGAGCGAAGATTCGGGGGGGCTTGAAGCAAAGTTGGCGCCGCCGCCACGCTGGCGCGCCGGGGAGGCCCCGCGCCAGGGCCGTTTACGATCGCGCGTCGCGTGTCTTGCGCGCGTTCGTTCGCGCGGGCCCAGCGGTCGCGGCGGGGCCCTTGCTATGCGTCGCGCGCCCGCGCTGCAGTGCGCGCGAGGCACGTGCGATGTTGACAGAAACCCTTTGCAATTTGTAGTGCAGTCCGTTGCTCGCAATTGCATCATCGGGCGGTTCGGCGTGAGGGGTCAGGAAGAGGCGGAGGAAGGGTGAGGATCAGGATAACGAGGAAATGGCTTACAGAGGTGGACGGGGTGTCTGATAAAGAGGAAGCGTAGCAGCAAGAGGACGGCATCGGCAGCAGGAGGCAGAGGGCAATGGGCGAGGTTGGTGGAGCATGGGGCGCCAACCCGCGCCCTCCAGCACCGAGGACAGCCGAGGTGTTTCTCGGCCTCTGGAACGGCAAGCAGGTGGTTTTGTTTCGCCTCCTCTCGAAGAACGAAAACGACATAGACATACATAGTAGGAGGCCTGCTCGGATTTCTTGGATCCGCGTTGTGACTCTCTGGCGGCGCCTCTGGCGCCGCCCCTGGCGCGCTCCGCGCGCCAGGGAGGGGGGTTCAGCGTAGATCCAAGAAATCCGCGCGGACGGGCTAGAGTTTATGTTTATGCAGCATTTTTGTTCCTCTATTTCAAGCCCCTGCAAACGGAGCGTTAGTAAACGGGCCTGTAGCTAAGGGTGCGTTTTCAATGGCGCCTTCAAGAAATAGAGTTGCCGCGCACAGGTGCGAGGTAAACCCCCCGCCCAGAGAGGTGCGAGGTAAACCCCCCGCCCAGAGCTATGATGATGCATCGACGTTCTTGTGGTCCCGATTTATCCAGCACCAGTGCTGGGTAGATGCCCAAGGGCTGTACCTAAACGCTGTTCTGCTGGACCTTGGCTGTGTCTTGTTTTTCGCTGTGGCAGGGCGGTACAGTACAACTGGTTGAGCGAAACGAAAACAAAACCAAGCAACAAAGTTTAGGTCTAGCCCTGAAATGCCCTGTCTCCACGTTCTCGCTTGAAGAGGCACCGTAGCTGCCGCCCCGTCTGTGAACGCCCCGGTTGCCGGGGTTTGGCTCGCGGAGATCAGCGAATGGCATACAGTGGAGACCCATGCCAAGAAACACCCTGCTCGCCTCCAGGGTGCCCTGGGTCCAGGGTGCCCTGGGTCTTAGTGGGCCCTGGAAACGATTTGTTACTGGTTCCGTTTTGCCGTTTTTGGTGCTGGTTCCGACGTTGTTTTTTTCCTCGTCGCCGTTGTTGTTACCGGTTCCGGCTCCTGTTCCAATCTTGGTGCCGTTTTTACCTAACAGCTTTTGCTGATAGGTTTCTAGTGGTCTCAAAAGAGAGCATCTGGACTCCACAGGGGGGTCTGGGCGGGTGCCGGGGAGGAGAACCGGGAATCGTTTTTCGCCAACAGTCACACACTTCGTGCTCTTCGACCTCCCAGAACTCCATTCCCGGGCCACATTCTGGACAACCGGGAACAGAGCCGGGCCCACTTTTCGCCAACAGTCACACACTTCGTGCTCTTCGACCTCCCAGAACTCCATTCCCGGACCACATTCTGGAGAACCGGGAACAGAGCCGGGCTCGTTTATTGTCAACAGTCACACACTTCGTGCTCTTCGACCTCCCAGAACTCTATTCCCGGGCCACATTCTGAATGCCCGGAGCCAACTGTAGGCCACTTCGTGCTCTTCGACTTCCCAGAACTCCACTCCCGGGCCACATTTTGAATGCCCGGAGCCAACTCTAGGCCACTTCGTGCTCTTCGACCTCCCAGAACTCCATTCCCGGGCCACATTTTGAATGCCCGGAGCCAACTGTAGGCCACTTCGTGCTCTTCAAGTTCCCAGAACTCCATTCCTGGGCATGATTTTGAATGCCCGGAGCCAACTGTTGGCCACTTCGTGTTCTTCTAGTTCCCAGAACTTCATTCCTGGGCTACATTTTGAATGCTGAGGCAGGCTGATGCTGCGGCCGAGGCAGGCTGAGGCTGAGGCAGGCTGAGGCTGAGGCCGAGGCTGAAGGCAGACTGAGGCTGAGGCTGAAGCAGGCTGAGGCTGAGGCTGAGGCTGAGGCTGAGGCTGAGGCAGGCTGAGGCTGAGGCAGGCTGAGGCTGAGGCTGAGGCTGATGCAGGCTGAGGCTGAGGCAGGCTGAGGCTGAGGCCGAGGCTGAAGGCAGACTGAGGCTGAGGCTGAAGCAGGCTGAGGCTGAGGCTGAGGCAGGCTGAGGCTGAGGCAGGCTGAGGCTGTGACTGCGACTGCCGTTGCCGCTGCGACTGTCATCGCGAATGCGACTACGACTGCGAGAACAGCAGAATTCTACAACTGGATTTTCATCTGAATCTTAAGGGGAATGCTTTCAGATATGCTTCTACATATCGCTGTTAGGTTGCTTTGCCGGGATAATTGTTTGTTGTTTCCGGGCGCCGTTTCTATTACCGTTTCCATGTTCAATAAATATTTGTCGGAAACGGGGCCCATTAAGCCCTTCCGGCCTTGCCGCTTCTGGGGCCCATAAAGCCCTGGGTTTCTTGGGGCTCCGATGGCTTCGCCATGGAGCGCGGGACGTTGCCACGCCAACAAAAGCGAGGGACGCCCTGGGGTCTCAGGGTTGGGCCTCTTGTGGAAGGTTTCTCTTTTTTCTCCTGGGCTGGCCTCCACAGTGCTCCCGCGGTGAGCAGCGGATGGCACGAGCACCGCTTCTCCGAGCTCCGTGCGGCTTTCCTGGGCCGGTGCCTGGACCGCGCCTCCCGCGCCGCCCCCGTTGCCCAGGCGCGCCCCGGGCGCCGGGGGGGGAGGGGGGGGTCTGGCGCCAATCCAAGGAATCCGCGCGGAGCGGCCGAAGTCTGTGTCTGCGCCGCTGGTTGTGCCTTGCTATCCTCGCGGAGAGCAGCGACGTGGTGCGAAATTGATCTTCATGCCGTGCTCTGTTTTTCCATGCTCGCGGAGACCAGCGAAATGCACAAGCATTAGTTCTCCCAGTTCCGTGCGGCTGTCTTGCATCGGTGCCCCGGCTCCGCCTCTCCGCCTGGGGCGCCGGGGAGGGAGGGGGGTCAGTACCGATGCAAGGAGTTTGCGAGGACTTGCGAGAGACTGTGTTCGTGCAGCTTCGTGGTCCTCATTTCTCTTCGTCCACGACCGCGACCTCGACCTCGCCCCCCTCCCTAGGTCGTCGACCGTCCTCAACCTCGTTTCCCCCCCCCTATCGAGAGTCGTCGTCCTCCTCACCATGCTCGTTCCCCACGTCCACCCTCTCAACCTCCTCCTCCTCCTCCCCCTCCTCCTCGTAGGTCTCGGGGTCTGGATCTGCTGGGTTTTGGCTAACCTGCAAGCGGGGCTCAGACTAGAGCGTACCCGTTCTCTGAGCGATATTTAGAGGCTCTGTTTGGATGGGTTCTTCAAGCAGTTTTTCCCCAAGGTTCTGAGTGCGGCCACAGGGTCGGCACGTTTGATCTCTGGGCAATTATTAGCCTCTTGCATCGACACCGCCATGTATCTATTCATATTCCAATTCCTCTTTTTTCTCCTCCTTCCAGGTGGCTATTAAGCAGCTCTACGCGCAGTGCCTCGGCTTCGCGCTCCAGAGATGCCGCCAAAGAGCAGAGCTGGAGAGGAGGAGGAGGAGGAGGAGGAAGGATAGGGCGCAGGTGAGGGAGGAGTATTGAGAGAAGGGAGGAAGCGGGGATCAGCAGGAGACCAGAAGGGACGAGCAGGGAGGATGGAGGATCAGGAAGAGGATGAATGAGACAGGGATAGAGGAAGGTGGATGGGGGGTGGAGAGGCAGGAAGGAGAGGGAGTGGGAGGGAAAGAGGGCGGGATCGGGGGAAGGGAGCATGATGAGGAAGATGAGGTCGAGGGGCGAGGAATGACTCGTCGGAGAAGCGGAGGGAGTGGCGGCAGGAGGGGGTGTAGCGGAGGAGGAAGCGGGTGGGAAGGGAATAAGGTGTGGGGGGGGGTGTCAGGAATTGCATTGATAGTGCGTAGGTCTTTCCAGTGGCTCCTGGAGTGGCGGGGGGAGCTTCAGTTTTGCGCACTGCGACGTGGTTCCTCGAGGGGCGGGAGGGGATGGGGGAACGGAAAGAGAACGAGAGAAAGAGAGAAAGACAGAAAGCGCGACAGAGAGCGAGAGAGAGAACACCAAAACGATAGAGCGAGAGAAGGCGAAGACTGAGAGAGAGAGGGAGAGCGAGAGGGAGGAGGAGACAGGGAGAAAGAGAGAGAGAGAGAGAGAGAGTGTGTGAGAGAGAGAGCATGCTAAACAAGAGGGACAGAGGGAGACACATAGAGATAGAGATAGAAATTGAGAGAGAGAGAGAAGGAACGAGAGAGAGAGAGAGAGACAGAGGGAACGAGGTACAGAGAGCGAGAGAGAAGTAACGCGAGAAAACGAGACCGTCGTAAGCAAGGGGGGCACACCTCATTGGCCACCTTTCTGGGCATACGAAGGCTTGGGGGATGGGGGCACAGACGCAGCTTCTCTTTGCGCTTCACGCTCGATTGAACTTGCAATGCGTCAACCGCAAGACCTCGCTTTCCATTGTTGTCACTAACTCTCTGTGTGTGTTTACATGCTCGTGCACATCTCTCTCTACATATGTACACATCGACAGGGAGGAGTTTCCCATCAGGAGAGAGATGGAGGAAGAGGAGGAGGAGGAGGAGGCGGAGGAAGATGAGGGGGAGGGGGAGGGGGAGGGGGAGGGGGGGAGTAGGGGAAGGGGGAGGAGGGGCGGTGTGGAAGGCGACGGTGGGGATGCTGAAGATTATGACGGGGTGGAGTCGGCGTCACCTCAACATACTAATTCTGTGTTTGCGTCGCCCTTCCAGGGGCGACGCGCGCACCGATACATCTTATGGCATATGCGTCGTGGCGGGCGCTGTCTGGCCGCACCGTTCGATACACGATATGCTACAAGATGGGTATACTAGCTGTTCACGTCGGACGCGCGCCTCCGAGGACATATAGTACTAGTATGTCTATGCGCGTCCCATGGAGGAGGAGGAGGAGGAGGAGGAGGAGGAGGAGGAGGAGGAGACGCTTCCCTCTCGAACTCTTCTGCTGCCTCTCTGCTCCTCCGCGTCGGGGCCGCGCGGGCGCGCGGCAGCGAGCCAGGCGCATGAACGAGTCCGAGACGATAGCGTTCCAGCGGGAGGCCGCTTGGTCCTCCTCCTCCTCTTCCTCCTCCTCCTTTTTTCTCCTCCTCCTCATCTTCCTCCTCCCCCCCTCCTCCTCCCTGCGCGCGGGGGGGGCGCCCCTGCGCCGGCCGCCCGGCGGCCGCCCGCGCCGCGGGCGGGGCGCCCCCGTCGTCACCGTCTCACCTGGTGGGAGTGACCCACATGAGAGGTGAGGAAATGATCCCAGTGCGGCCCTACCTAGGAGTTGGAGCCCCCAGGAAAGCAGCATTCGTAGTAACAGTAACGCTAAGCTAAAGCTAAGCTAAAGCTAAGCCACAGCTGAGCTAAATCTAAGCTAAAGCTAAGCTAAATCTAAACTGGTGGTACTGGGGAGTGACCCACATGAGAGTTGAGGAAACAAGGCCCTACGTAAAGGGGGCCTTTGGGGCCCCTGTTGGGCACCAAGTGGTTCCAAACGGCGCCCTGAAAAAGGGCTTCCTTCGGGCCCTTCTCTTCACCCCCATGTGGGTCACACCCTATCACCACCCGCCCGAGTCGCCAGAGGGTAGGCAGGAGGAGGAGGGAGGGGGGGGAGGAAGAGAGGGAGCGGGCGGGAACGGGGAGGCTCAAGCCTTGAAAGACTCGGGAGCCTTCGGAGAGAGGGACGGAACAGGACGAGGACGAGGCGTTGGGGAAAAGGATGCTTGGGTGGGGAAGGGGAAGAGGCTGAAGGAAATGTGGAGGAGCAGCAGGAGCAGGCGAAGCAGGGAGGCGGCCAAGTTCGCCAAGTCAGATGAGGCAGGTGGCCCCGCCGACTCGCACTGTCCATCCCTTGGACACTGTAAAGCTTAAGGGTGACACAGCGTGCTACTGCTATGTCGGGCCTGTTCCTCTACAGGAGGACTACTCAAAAAGGGTCAAGAATAGTCTGGGGACGAATTCTTCAGTAGTTCTGAATTTTGTTTGAGTGCGTTTTGTGTATTTCTTACGTTTCGTCCAAACTCCCCCTGTAGGAGGACACGCCCGAGCTCATGCTGCTCGGACTGGAAGGCTGGTGGGCCTGCGGGATGCTGCGGGTGCTCTGGCCCGCCAGGGTCCCCGGACGACGGCCCACCAGGCCGCGGACGAGGACCCTGCCCCCCCCCCGCCTCGCCCTCGCCGGGAGTGCCGCGCCCCGCGTCCTGCCGCTCGGTGTCCTGGTCAGCCTGGAACCGCCCTGTGGCCCCCCGCGCCTGGTGCGGGGAGGATTCCATCGGCGGCGCGCCCGCGGGGGGGGACGTTCGAGCTCGAGTTCCAGGTTCGACTTTGAGGTGGTGTTCTGGCGATTTCGTTGGTTCCCAGCGATTTTCCAGCCTCGGGGTGCTGTCCGGCAGCCGCGCCTCGCCAAGGGCGTGTTCGGGGTCCCCGCAGAAGGCTCGGAAGGCCTCGGGCCTTTCGGGAATCTTCCTGCTCCTTCAAAGACAGGGATCTTCTCGGAAGGCCGGGTGGCTTCTGAGAAGCCCCGCCGCCTTCTAAGAAGGCCTGCTCCTTCTCACTTCCCCCCTGGGCTCGCCGCCGAGATTCAGGGCCTGTCATCGAAGCAAAAAGCGACAAACACACCCTTTCCGAAATACGCGCGGATGTCTACATCTGCGTTGGGCCTCTTTTCCCCCCCTGGGTTCGCCGCCGAAGATGAAGAAGAAGACGACAAAGAAGACAAAGAAGAAAAAGAAGACGAATAACCCGCATAAACATAAGTTTCTGGACTTCTCCTCGCGGATTTCTTGCATCCCTCTGGCGGCGCTTCCAGCGCCGCCGTTGGCGCGCGCAGCGCGCAAGGGAGGCGGGTCCAGCGCGCATCCAGGAAATCCGCGCGGAGTTTTGAAAGTGTATGTGTATCCAGTTTGTTGTTCCTCTCTGGCAGGGTCGGAGACGGCCCTTTCGTCCTCCTCCCTCCGCTTCCCTTCGCCTTCCCTACTTCTGTCGCTCCTCCCTCCCCCCACCCAGCATCCCAGGCTCCATTTCGACCCGATGGGCCCAGTGTCGGCGTCGAACTCGGCCGGCTCGATCGGAGTCGCTTCCCATATCCCAACGATCCGATGCGTCCCGAAGTATGCATGGCTCCGCTGCGTATCCTGAAGCAGCTAATTCGATTCCGATTCGGTGCCGAGCAGTGTCGATGCGGCCCGTTCCCACGCACATTCCGATCCGATCCAAATTTCCGATTCGATGTTGGCCGCTCTCGTCGTCCCCTACCACAGTTTGTTATCCCTTCCCCCTCCCTTCCTCCTTCCTTTCCTCCTCATCCTGCCTCATGCGTTTCTGTCTGAGTGGCGAGGGGACGCGATATCGATACAGCGGAGGTGTCCATCCTGGTGAATGTGAACCACCCGAACCTCGTCAGGCTACTCGGCTACTGCATGTCGTCGGCACCCAAGCACCTGGTGTGCGAGTATTGCGAGGGAGGCAGTTTGCTTCCCGTTCTCCCGAAAGAGGACGGAGGGAGGGAATGAGGAGTGGGGAGTGGATTGATGGGGAGAAGGGGAGGAGGGGGGAGGGGGGAGGGGGGAGAAGGAAGGCGGGAGGAATGAGGAGGGGGGAATGTTCAGGAGATTCCCGCAAATGGCTACGAGACGGCCCTGATACAGAAGGGCCAGTATTAGCCAAAGAAGGCTCCTCATCGGCCTCCGTTTTCTTCTGCTCCTCCCCTGCACCATCACCCCTTCGGATAGCGTGCCTCTCAGAAGACGAGAACGGTGTGGGAGGAGCTTTCAGGGTGGCAGGTGGCAGCAGAAAATGAGCAAACGCCCAATTCTTGCACAAAACGGAAGGGAACTCGTTGGTTGTGTTTCTTCCGGCCTTCCTGAAGAACCTCTTTCTTGGACGCCTCTTGGGGAGTCTTTTGAGTTGTCCTGGGCCTTCTTGAGGCAATCTTAGGCCGTCTTGGCTGCATCTTGGGCCGTCTTGGAGGCACCTTGCGGCCATCCTGGGCTCCCAAAGGGGCCATCTTGGATGTCTTGCAGGCCATCATGAGCATCTTGGGGGCTCCGTGGGACGTTAGTGGGGTCTCTTGGGGCCGTTTTGGCTTCCTCTTGGGCCGTCACTGGGCCATCTGGAAGACATCTTGGGTGATCTTGGGGCGACCTTGAAGACCTCTTGGGTCATCTTGACCCGTCGGAAGGCCAACCGGAAGCGACTGCCAAACAGAAGGAACATCAATGCGTTTGGCATCGCCAGGCCTTTCTGAAGGACCTTTTGGAGGCCTTTTGGACCCTCTTGGGGGCCTCGTGGGCCGTCTCGGGCCATCGAGAAGCCAACATAGCCCGTCTTGGCTGCATCTGGGGGCCGTCCTGGAGACATGTGCGGCCATCGTTGGCTCGCGGAGGGCCATCTTGGCCGTCTTGGAGGTCATATTGGGCGTCTCGGGAGCCAGCTGGGACCGTCTTGAGAACGTCGTGGGGGGCCCCTGGACCGTCATGGGGCCACCGTGGACGTCTTTGCGTCGATCTTGATGCGATCTTTGGGTCTGTCGGTCCCTCGGAAAGCCGACAAGGCGCAAGAGCAGAACACTTTTTGCGTCGGCGGCGAGGCAGGGGAAGCCTGCGCTGACGGAAAAGCCTCAACGGGGGGGCCTTGAGGGCAAATTGGGCCAACATGCAAGCGGGGGAGCGGGAGGAGACCGCGGCCGAAAGAGGGGGCGGACGTAGCGAGCCGCTCAGTGGGATGGGGCAAAAGAAGAACACATTGAACACCTCAAGAGAACTCAGTGATTTTCACCTTCGGGTCTTCCCCTGCCCGTCCTCGTAGAAGCCTTCAGGGGCCGTCTCTTGGAGGACTCCTGGGAGCTTCCTGGGCCGCATCTAGGCCATCTTGAGGACATCCTGAGGCCGTCTTGCGCGCATCTTCGGCAGTCTTGCCAATGCGTCTGCCAGGAAGCTCTCTCCAGGTCCTTCCAGAGATCTTTGGCAGGCCTTCGCATGCCCTTCTAGCGCCCTGCTGTCCGGGTATTGGACCTTCATGTGGGGCCATCTGGGACGTCTGGGAGGCCCTCGTGCCCGTCCTGGAGCCCATCTTGCCCCTAGCCGAAGCGGAAAAAGCCTGCGGGACCCGCGTCGCTTGGAGCTTTCCGGGAGGCCAGCGGGCTGGGCCGAAGCCAGGGAGTTTTGCAGAAACGGACCCAAAGACCTGCCAGATGTCTTCGGCACGCCGTGCCTTGTTTTTTTTCAGCGCGCAGACTGCCCAGTGGCGGAGACGAGGGACGAGCGAGGGGGGAGGGAGGGAGGGCAGGGCGGGGGGGGGGCGGGGAGGTGCTCGTTTGGGGGACCTTCCTGGGCCCCACCTGACGGTTCTGTTCGGCTCCAGCTCGACCCCGAGTTTGACTCAAGTGCGGCTCAAGTTCGACTCAGGCTCGACGCAGGTTCGACGCAGGGTCGACGCAGCTTCGACGGCCGCTCGGCGCAGCGTCGACGCACGAGTGGTGCGAGTGTCTCCAGGAGGGCCCCCAGAAGGAAGCACCCCAAGGGGGTGCGGAGTTTGCGCGGCCCGCCCCTGCGCTGGCGGCGGCGCTGCGCCAAATCGGCTCCTTTGCTACGGGACGTGAAAACGACCACAGCCACTGCTTTCCTTTTGTTGCCGCCTTCCAGCCATCAGAAACAAAGCAGTGGCTGTGGTCATTTTCGTTGAGCTTGGCACCAGGGAAATGACCACAACCACTGCTTCTTTTTCGGCCGGCTGGAAGGCGGCGCAAACAAGAAGCAGTGGCTGTGGTCATTTTCCCGTCCCGCATTTGCCCGGCGCTGCCAGCGCCCCGCACACCCGTGGCTCTACCACCATGGGGGGGGCGGCGGATCTCTGGTGGCCTTCGGCCCATCCTGCAGGACGATCGAGATGGGTGCGGAAAGAATGGGTACTCCAGATTTCGTAATAAAGGGAGGGGGGTCTCATTTCGGGGGGGGGTCTCTTCCAGGCTATCTTGGAGGGCCTGGGGGGGTCTGGGGGCGATGTTTTGGAGGGTTCTCCCACGGGGGAGGTCTGAAATGGCTTGTCTTGGAGGGTCCAGACCCCCTCCCCTTTATTACGAAATCTGGGGTACGCTGCTCAACAGCAGTTCCTGTGCACTCGGAACGGGACTCGCTGTTCGCGCCGCCGCGGACGTCATTCTCGAAAGCCAGGGAGCCGCCTGTCCAACAGCGGCCGCGGTCGGTTTTGGACAACACTTGTTGTTGGGCGTTGTACCCTTTCTTTTCCCGTATCCATTTCGGGCGGTCAAAATCCTGCCACCGTGCCGTGGTTTTGACTCGGGCCTGTCCCTCTACAGGAGGAGTATTCAAAAATAGTAAAACAAAATAGTATGGGGACGATTCGTTGTTCAGTATAAGTGGGGTTCTTGTTTTCTCTGGACGGCCGCGGGCCACACCCACCCACACCCAGTCACACACACACACATCATGATCATCATCCTCGGGCATTCCATGCGAGCCCGCTCGGGCGGAAGGGAATTCCAACGGCTATCGGCTTCAGCGAACCCGCTCGAACGGAATGACCTTCAGGGGCATTCCATGCGAGCCCGCTCGCGCGGAAGGGACCTCCCCTGTGGTCCCGAGGGGGTCCCACCTAAAAGTTGGAATTCCAACGGCTATCGGAATTAGCGAACCCGCTCGAACGGAATGACCTTCAGGGGCATTCCATGCGAGCCCGCTCGCGCGGAAGGGACCTCCCCTGTGGCCCAGAGGGGGTCCCACCTAAAAGTTGGAATTCCATCGGCTATCGGCATCAGCGAGCCTGCTCGAACGGAGGGACCCTCAGGGGCATTACATGCGAGCCCGCTCGCGCGGAAGGGACCTCTCCTGTGGCCCCTAGGGGGTCCCACCTAAAAGTTGGAATTCCAACGGCTATCGGCATCAGCGAGCCCGCTCGAACGGAGTGACCCTCAGGGGCATTCCATGCGAGCCCGCTCGCGCGGAAGGGACCTCCCCTGTGGCCCCGAGGGGGTCCCACCTAAAAGTTGGAATTCCAACGGCTATCGGCATCAGCGAGCCCGCTCGAACGGAATGACCCTCAGGGGCATTCCATGCGAGCCCGCTCGCGCGGAAGGGACCTCCCCTGTGGCCCCTAGGGGGTCCCACCTAAAAGTTGGAATTCCAACGGCTATCGGCATCAGCGAGCCCGCTCGAACGGAATGACCCTCAGGGGCATTCCATGCGAGCCCGCTCGCGCGGAAGGGACCTCCCCTGTGGCCCCGAGGGGGTCCCACCTAAAAGTTGGAATTCCAACGGCTATCGGCATCAGCGAGCCCGCTCGAACGGAATGACCCTCAGGGGCATTCCATGCGAGCCCGTCCGCGCGGAACGGACTTCCCCTGTGGCCCATAGGGGGTCCCACCTAAAAGTTGGAATTCCAACGGCTATCGGCATCAGCGAGCCCGCTCGAACGGAATGACCCTCAGGGGCATTCCATGCGAGCCCGCTCGCGCGGAAGGGACCTCCCCTGTAGCCCCTAGGGGGTCCCACCTAACAGTTGGAATTCCAACGGCTATCGGGATCAGCGAACCCGCTCGAACGGAATGACCCTCACGGGCATTCCATGCGAGCAGGAGGAGGAGGAGGAGGCAGGGGGAGGGGGATTTCAACCGCGGTGCCTTCAGGAGGAGATGGTTGAAATGGACGTTTGTCGAGGAGGACGGGGAGGAGGACGAGGAGGAGACGGAAGAGGCGCCGGAGGAGGAGGGGGAAGAGAGGGGTGGGAGGAGGAGGAGGGGGGGAAGGAGGAGGAGGAGGAGGAGGAGGAGGAGGAGGAGGAGAGGAGGAGGAGGAGTGGAAGGAAGAGGAGAGGAGGAGGAGGAAAGAGGAGGAGGAGGAGGAGGAGGAGGAGGAGGGGAGGGGGAGGAGGGGGGGCAGGAGGAGCAGGACGAATGGGGAGGAGAGAGGGGGAGGGAGGAGGAGGAGGAGGAGGAGGAGGAGGAGCAGCAGCAGCAGCGTCAGCAGGAGCAGCATCATTCTGATAGTGTACATATCCCATACAAGATTAGGTATTCATGCGGGGTCCATCCGTTGGAGTAATTTTGAGTATTTTTGGATTTCCCGTCCGAAATCCCCCTGTCGGGGGACATGCCCGACCTAAGCTTGGCTGGGGGTCGAAGGCCCCCTGGATGCCTGCGGGGATCTCCCGAGGCATCGTGGAGGCGGCTTCGGGCGGGGCCTCTTGGGGGGCCTCTTGGTCGGGGGCAGGTCAGACTCGAGTAAGCCGGGACTCGGGTTTGCCGACATGTTTGACGAGCGCGTCCTGGATTTTGACGGTCCAGTTGTCGTGGGGTGTTTGCAGCGAGAGCTCGCGGACAAATTTCATATTGGGTCTCGTCATTTTCCTGATGGCCCCGTCAGGCCAACCCGAGTCTTACGTCTCCTTGACTTGGGGCCTGGCTTGGGCCTCCTGGGGGGGGTCTCTTGGCGTCTCTTGGGCGCTCCTCGTTGGCCTGTGGGGGGATCTTGGGGCCATCTTGGGGCGGAGGGCTAACATGTCAGTCCGCGTTCCCCATCTTTGGGCCTCTCTTGGGGCCGCCTCGTAGGCCCCTTTTGGGGGCTCTTGGCGTCCTGGACCCTCTAAGTAGCGAAACAGGCGGATCAACCAACAATTGAGTTTGACGATGTTGGCCTCTTGGGCCGCCCTTCAAGGCCTCCAAGAGGCGCCCCTGAGGGCTCCAAGACATGCTGGACATGCATGTCCCGAGTGGCACGCCCTTGGCCCCTCGGAAAATCAAGCGGGGACCCACCGAGAGTGCCCAAGAGCGTCCAGACCTCAGAGCGTCGGGTCCCTTCCAAGTGAAGAATCCTTCTATCAGCACTAGGGGGTTGAGGACACTCCAACTCGTGCCTCAGGGCACGTTGGCGGATAAAAGGGGAGGGAGAGAGAGAGAGAGAGAGAGAGAGAGAGAAAAAAAGAAATTGATGTGTGCAAAGTGTGTGTATATATACATACATGCACTGAAAAGAAGGACCAGCAAAACGAGACGCAGGAACAGCAAGAGCAGCAGCAGCCGCCACCGAGACGTCGAGGCTCAGCAGCAAACGAAGTCGGGCCGGGCGCAGACGAGGAGGGAGGGCGAGAGAGGGCGAACAGGAGAGGAGGAGGAGGAGGCGAGGAGGAGGAGGAGGCGCCCAGGAGGAGGACGGCGAAAAAGGGGAGGAAGGGGGGGGGGACGGAAGAGCAAGAGGACGAGGGCTGTGCAGAGGGAGGAGGCGGACGACGCAGAGGAATAGTTAGGACGAGGAGGACGGAGAGGCAGAGAGGCGGAGGAGGAGGAGGAACAGGAGGAGGTGGACGGAGAGGCGAAGGAGGGGGAGGACGTGGAGCGGAGAGGCGGTTGTGGGGGAGCAGGGAGGTCCGGAAGAGGATGGGGAGGACGGACGAGGATGGATCGGGGGCCCCCAAACGGGGTGGTGACCACACCGTGTGGTGAGTCGGTAGGGGATCGGGGTCACCGCACGGTTTTGGGACTTGGGTCGTTCTCCGAGGATGTCTCGGGCGGTTGGGACCTCCAGGGTCCCAAAACCGTGTGGTGACGGACCATGCGGTGAGGTCTCTGCGGATTTCGAGGTCGCTTCCGGGTCTGTCACCACACGGTTTTGGGACACCCAAATGGAGGGTCAGGCGATCGCGAACATGGATCAAGGGGGCGTGGATTAGCGACTGGTCCCGTTCCCATGGGAAATCGCGGATGGCCGCCGCCGAGCGAGGCGGCACCGGCGCCGCATTCTGGGGAGGGCGCCTCCCCCGATCCACGGATCTGGCGACCGCGCGCCAAGTCCATGGATCGCCAATCCATGCTTGTGCGCCCCCGGTGGACGGGGCGCAGCCGGAGTAGGGCGGAGGGGCACCCTGAGAGGAGGGCAGCGGCGGCCGGCGCGCCCCCCCTCCCGAGGCACCCTCTTCGAGATGCTGCACAACCAGCGGGACCTGGATCTGGCGCTGGTGCAGCAGGCCGCTGGAGAGTGTCTCTGTTGCCCCCTGGGCCACAATGCGCGTGAGGCCCCCTTTCCCCTCCCCCCCCCCAGAACGTAATTCTCCCCCCTCGGTGCGTCCCCGGCACTGCCGCAGTGCGTCCAGCACCACAGTCTTGTGTGGGGGGGGGGCGCTACATTATGCCCCCTTCTGTCCCCCCCCCCCTCCCCCCCCTTTAACGCCCGTTATGGCCGCGAGTAAAAAATGCGCTCCTGCCGGCCGTCTCAAAAACACAGGCACGCAGACGGGAAGACTCCGCGGGTCGGCGGCGAAATCCGAAGCCTGGCCTCGCCCACCCACGATTCTGGAGGAGCAAACCATACTGCACACATGAATGTTCGGAGGTCCGCGCAGATTTCTCCGATCGGCGCCTGGGTCTCCCTGGGCGACGCCTCTGGCGCCGCCTACGGCGCGCTCCGCGAGCCAGGGGGGGGGAGGTCCAGCACCGATCGCCGATTCGAGAAATCCGCGAGGACGTCCGAAGATTGACTCAAGCAGCTCGATGGGCGGTAGGGGGAAGAAGAGGCGCTAGGAGGGTGGGGAGAGCGGAGCGATGACGATAATTCCGATGATGGTTACCGCGATAGCGATGATGAGAATGGCGATGATGAGGAGGAGGAGGAGGAGTAGGAGAAGGAGGAGGGCGGGGGGAGAGAGGGGGGGAAGTGCGGCGGAAAGACCATTCAGTCCGATGATATGATGGCCGCGGGCATAATATTTCCCTGGAGTCCATGGGCCCCTCTCATTGTTTCGATTATTTAATCGCTTCGCTCATTCCGCCGGCCCATACAGTCTGGGAGGCATCGCGCTCTGGGCGGCGTGCGGAAGCCATTGTGTGAGAGGGCGCGGTGGTGAGAAGAACAGCTCACCCCACCCGGCTTTCCCGGCTTTCCGGCGTAAGGAGGGCTTCTTCGCGGCCTTTGTGAACGCTCCTGGACAGTGCTTTTTGGGCAGGTTCTTGACGCTTGTTGCAAGTCTGTAGGGGCCCCGTTGGGAGTCTACCGAAAGGAGAGCACATTGTAGCATCGCTTGCACTTGCTTGCGTGCTCGGGGGGGCATTTGGGGGGCCTCCTGGGGCCGCTTGGGGGACTCTTGGGGGCCTCCTGAGGGCCTCGTGGGGGCCTCTTGGGGCCTCTTAGGGGCCTCTTGGGGCCTCGTGGGGGCTTCTGAGGGCCGAGGGCTCGAAATGTTGTTTCGTGTTCCCTCTCTGGGGCCCCTTTGGGGGCGTTCTTGGGGCCCTCTTGGACCGTCTTGGAGGCTTCTTGGGCCGTCTTCGAGCCCTCTTGGGCCATCTTGGGGCCCTCTTGGGGGCCTCTTGGGCCCTCTTGGGGCGATCTTGGGGGCCTCTTGGGCCGTCTTGGGGCGTCGGGAATCCGAAAAGGTGGAAGCTCCAAAATGTCTCAAAAACCGAAGGAAAAGCAATGAATTTTGCCTCTTGGGAGTGCTCTTGGAGGCCTCTTGGAGCGTCTGGGGGCTATCTTGGGCGTCTTGGAGCGATCTTGTGGCATGTCGGACCCCTCGGGTACCATCTTGGGGGCCTCTTGGGGGCCTCTTGGCCTTGCTTGGGGCTCTCGGGGACGTCTCGGAGCCCTGTGGGTGCGCTCATGGAGCGCTCTGGTGGCTTCGCCCGGGGATCAGCCGGGGATCGCCCGGGGTACTTCTCGTCCGGGGACCCCCAGGGGCCGCCCCGCGCGCGCGAAGTAGAAGTATTATATAGCAGTTACCGGAGATCTTAGCACGCCTCTGGCCCGTTGGGCCGGCGAATTCTTCTTTCAATGCGGCCCCGGGCCCTCCTGGGGCCGCGCACGTGAGAGGCCCCTCTTGCAGGCCCCCCTCCTGGGGGAGCAGGAATGGATGGAGGCAATGAGGAGGAGGTGGGGTCAGAGAGACAGAAGGGGCGGCGCTTCTGCCCTGGGGAGGAGGAGGAGGAGGAGGAGGAGGAGGAGGGTGAAGAGGAGGAGGAGGAGGAGGAGGAGGAGGAGGAGGAGGAGCGTCTCGGGAAGGTGTCCGCCCGCCTCGTTCCCGCCGTCTCGCGGCCTGCCGGCCTCCTCGCGGCCGCGGTTGTTCGCGCGCGGCCGTCAGACGGGGGCGGGCTGGGGAGAGAGCCTCCTCCTCATCATCCTTCTCCATCTCCTCCTCCTTCTTATCCTCCTCATCCCCCTCATCCTCCTCAGCCTCCTCCCTCTCCTCATCCTCCTCGTTATCGTCCGTCCTCCTCCTCGCCCTCGTCGCCTCCCTCTCCCTCCTTCCCTCTCCCCCGCCTTCTCCCCTCCCTTCTTCTGCCGGGGTTAGGGCCGCCCGACTGCATCGGAGGTCAAGATGTGCACCGACATAGCGCACGGGATGGACTACCTGCACAAGTCGGGGGGGGGCTGCGTCTGGAGACCGGGGCAGGCAGGCGGCAGGCTTTCATGGAATCTCGCGCCGTTGGAGAAGGCAGGATGGGATGCAGCAAGAGGAGGAGGAGGAGGAGGAGGAGGAGGAAGAGGAGGAGGAGGGGAAGCAGGACGACCAGGGGGAGGTTAGGGGGGGGGAGGAGGAGGAGGAGGAGGAGGAGGAGGAGGAGGAGGAAGAGGAGGAGGACAATGTAAGGAAAAAGGAGGACGAGGACAATCAAGTCGAGTTTGATCGGTAGGCCGACCACTTGAGACCAAGTGGCATATATCTTTCGTCCTATGTCTCTTGCATTCCTGGAGCAATGTTGAGCTCGGAAGGGTCTTTCGCACATCTTTCGTCTTGGGGGCCTCCTGGAGCCATCTTGGGGCCCTTCGGGGCCATTCTAGGCGGTTCTTGGACTCTTTTAGGGATCTGTTGGGGCAGTCCTAGGGCCTTAGGAGCCTTCGTTGGCAAAACATCCGTGCATTTCTTTTCTGTCGGGTCCCCTGCTCTATGATCGTCTGAGTATGACCGAGTCTGGCCGTCTGAGTACTAGTGGTTCTGAGTACAAGTGCGTCTGGGTATGAGTGCGTCTGACAGAACGCTCTTCGGATGCCGTGATGTCAGGCCTGCTTGATACATGGCGGTGGACATGTGGCCTTTGAAGGAGACCCGTCTACTGGGCCGAAGCAGGCGTTTCGCCTCAGAGGTCCCGACAATCTGGGCGGGACCAGGCGCGTTTCATCCGGCGGCTCCCCCTGGAGGGGGCCCGAATTCGATATTCGTTGGATGGCGATGTGCGTCCACAGCTGCAGCCAGGCATTCTGCCCGAGAGGAGCCGACGACCGGGGCACAAGCGGAACCGTGCAGCATCCCACTGGCGCTTCCCCTCCTGGGGAGACCCCGGCTGCGTCCAGGGCCGCAAGCGGGCATCCTGTCTCAGATGATGGGCTTGTTTTCCACCGCCACCACCATGAGTCGGAGGGGGGAAGGAGGATGAGGAGGATGAGGATGAGGAGGACGAAGAGGAGGAGGAGAAGGAGGAGGAGGAGGAGGAGGAGGAGGAGGAGGAGGAGGAGGAGGAGGAGGAGGAGGAGGAGGAGGAGGAGGAGGAGGAGGAGGAGGAAGGAGGACCCCCTTCCCCACCAACTTATGGTTTTGTTTGTGGCAAGCAGGCCCATCGTCAGAGGCCTCGGCGCTCTTTCGCGCGAGCGGGCCCACGCGACGTCCCGCTGGCTGGCCCAAGTTCAATGGATGCTACATCGCGGTGTTCTTGGGGCGCGTTTCGATTCCTCCGATTCGATTCGATTCGACTTCGATGGATTCCGATTCCGATTCGATTCGATTTCGGATTCCGATTTGGGGTCCGATTTCTTATTGGAGGCATACTAGCCTGCCGATTTCCGCCGATTCGACTTTTCCCGACTCGGCTGCCGATTTCCGCCGATCCGATTCATTTCGATCGCCGATCCGACTTATCGATTCGATCCTGGCCTCTCCTGGGTTCTTGGGGCTTTGATGGGGGACTCGCGTACTGGTCCGCATATGAGCTGAACCATGCACGAGGATGATACGCATGATTGCATCTGGGTGTGAGAAAGTGTGTCTGATAATGGTTGCGCCTTGATATTGAGTTTTGGTATTGAACATTATGAGTGCGAGCGAGTATGGGTGTGAGTGCATACGAGTGTGAGTTGGATTCGGCGCCTGAGTGAGAGTGAGTAGAAGTAGGCTGATTATCAGTGTAGTCAGCCGGAGTATAGTGAGTCCGAGTCTGGATGAGTCGGATGATGAACAAGTACATTGCTAAGTCTGAGTGTGAGTTTTGTGAGTACGAGTAGGTTTGAGTTTGAACGCGTAAGAGTATGCGTCTCTGGAGTGCGAAGAAGCCGCGGAGTGAGAAAGCATGTGTCTGATCTTCTCTGTACTAGTTACTATCAGTATGGCCTGGCCCACGGTATGAGTGAGTGGGTGAGCGAGCGGCCTGAGTGTAAGTGATTCTGCGCACGATGTGGTCTGAGTGTGGAAGGCGGGACGGAAGGCAGGGGCGGGAATGAGGCGGATGTATCACTTAGAACTATCGAGGGCCCCGTATGTGTTGCAGATTGGAAGACGGGAGAGGTCCCGCAACTAGCCTCTCCCCTCACCCTGGACGTCGGCAGGTAGCCTTTGGGGGCCCTCGTTGGGCGTTCGTGTGAGCACTCGGGCCCTCGTGGAGTCCTCCTGGCCCCAATTTGGGCTTTCTTGGGCGGCGGTCTTGAGACGATTTTATGATGCTTGAAAAGCCGATCATAAGCAACATTGAGAGACACCCTAATTCACCGACATACCTCATGATTTTGAATCGGTTTGGTCTCTTGGGGGCATCCTTGATAAGCTTCGAGGCTTCCCGGAGTCAGCTCCTAAGCACACGATGGCCTCTCGAAGCATGTTCGATTCAATGTTGGTCCAACTTGAGCTACAGAGCGTCAGCTTTGGACATCTTCTTGGGGCATTTGGGACCATATTGGGACCGTTTTAGGCCAACGCGGACCCAGGGGAGGGGGTTCGGGGGACGAGTACCCCCATCCCCGAAGGGGACGACTCGGGTAGGAACGACAAGGCCCCTGGACCACCTACGCCTAGAGGGCTGGTAGGATCTCGAGGAGGAGGGCGATAAGACGACGACGAGCCATCTCCCGCCGCTCCTCGCGGATCCTCGCGCTTTGGCGCCGGGGCCCCTGCCTGGGGACCGCGCCTTCTTCCTCGAGGCGCTCCTCCCCCTCCTCCTCCTCCTCCTCCTCCCCCTCCTCCTCCTCCTCCTCCTTCTCCTCCTCCTCCTCCTCCTCCCTCACTCATTCTCCTCCTTGCCTTTTTTTTCCTCCTCCTCCTCCTCCTCCCTCCCTCCCTCCCTCCTCCCTCCCTCCCTCCCTCCCTCCTCCTCCTCCTCCTCCTCCTCGTTCTCCTCTTCCTCCTCCTCCTCCTCCTCCGCCCCCTCCTCCTCTTCCTCTTCTCCCCCTCTTCCTCCTCCTCCTCCCCCTTCTCCTGCATCTGCGTGTCTTCGCCAAGGGATGTCTCAGTTTAAGTCTTCTCCTGCATCTCTCTGGCCTTCCAGATGGGGTCCGAGGAGATGGTGTCGGAGGATCGCAGCCCATCGCCGATGCATCGGCGATGCGGCTCGATGAGCAACCCGAGTTTCTCTGCGCTGGCGTCGCCGATGCACCGCCTTTTCTCCGATGCATCGGTCATGCAGCACGATCCTCAAACCTCATCCACTCGGACCCAAGCTGAGTGGCCTCAAGTTTCTCCCCCCTCGCTGAGGGCGATGGGGAGGCCCTGGAGGGGTAGGAAGGTTTACGCCGCAGATCGTCCACAGGGACCTCAAGTCCCTCAACCTCCTGCTCGCCAAGCCGCTGACGGGCCTCGGCGACATTCCCGTCGTCAAGGAGGGAGGGGGGGCATGGGGGGGGCATGCTGTGGAGGCGAAGCAAGATGGGGGAAAAAGGGAACATGGAGGAGGCGGAGGAAGAGGAGAGGAGGAGGAAGAAGAGGACGAGGAAGAGAACGATGAGGAGGAGCAGGGAGGAGCAGGAGAAGGAGGAGGAGGAGGAGGAGGAGGAGAAGGAGGAGGAGCAGCAGGGTCGTCACTAGTACAACAGGAACAGGAGGAGGATGAGGAGGACGGCGGACGGCGGACGATGATGAGGACGAGGCGGGTTAGGACGAGGCTGATGAGGAAGGGGAGGGACATTAGGGGGAGAAAGAGGAGGAGGAGGAGGAGGAGGAGGAGGAGGAGGAGGACCAGTGTAAACCCAACATGCACCAGTCTTTTTGCAATACACCCTCCCTCCAAGTTTCCTCTTCACAGGGCTCCCCTACAAGAAGTCATTTACATTGCGGGAAATGCCCCATTCGAAGACAGCCGTCGGATAATTTACAATCGTGCCAAACCATAATGCCTCAGCGTTGCGCATCAACATGTTCTGATAACCCCAATTCGCGCCAGAACACTTTCTTACACGTTCTTGGGACTTCAGCGCCGCGAAGTAACGTGACTGTTGCGTCCTCGCGATCCAGAACCTTGCCAGATACGTAACCCATATTTGGGACGTCGGCCAAACGAATATGTTCAAGCTGTTGCAGGTTTCCAGAACGAATGCGCGCGGCGCTGAAGCGAGAACAACACGTTGAAACATAACCGCCTTCATCCTTGACATGGTTGCGAACTTTTAAGACCAATGTGCGCGGTGCGAAAGCGATATTCACATGTTGATGGCCACCCGCCCTCCATCCGCGAAGTCCTTGCACACTTCAAAACGAATGTGCGCGGCGCGAAGGCGAGAGCCACATTTTCAAAACATCCCGCCCTCCAACACTGAAGCTCTTTGCATGCTTTTTGAACTAATGCGCGCGGCGCTAAGGCGAGAACCACATTTTGAAAGCCACTCGCCCTCAATCCGTGAATCCCTTTCAATTCTCCAGCTTCAGGATCATGCTCGGCGTGGGGGTTTCAGGCGAAACGCCAGGCCCGCGCTGCTAACACGTCTGGTGGTGCGACTGGGAGGAGTTATCTATGAGGAAAAAGCATGGAGGAGGAGGAGGAAAAACAGGAGGAGGAGGAGGAGGGTGGGCAGGCGGACGCGAGGGATGCGAAGGCATGAGGCCGAGGGGGGCAAGGAGAAGAGGGAGAGGCGAGGACGAGGAGCGGCACGGTCGCGGGCTGCGAGGGCGCGACGGCGAATGCCGCTCGGTCTCCGGGGGCCGTCGATGACGATGGGCAAAACGAGGCATCCAGGCTGGAGGCTCACGCTTGTTGTTTCACCGTCTCGGCCCCGACGGCGCCTCCTCGGCCTCCCCCCCCTCCGCCCGCTGCCAGCCTTGGGTCGGGCATGTCCTCCTACAGGCGGCTTTTGGATGGAAAATCACAAATCATTCAAACATAATCAGAAACGGTTCACACTTGTCAAACTATCGTGCCCATGTTTTAAAACTTCTTTTGAATACCCCCCTGTAGAGGGACAGGCCCGACGTGAGTCCGGTCGCCCTCTCTCCTCCCCGTCGCCGGTTGGCTGCTCCACGTCCTGGCCGTGGCCCCGACCGCAAGACCGCTTCCTGGCTGCGCCGCTCGGCGAATGAAAGCAGGTGCCCCCCTCGTTTCCTCTCCCTCTCTCTCCACCTTCTTTTTGTTCGTTCCCAACCCAATCTTGCGCGCAATGTCAGAGCAGAGCGTACCATAGCGCAGCATCGCCGCACTGTATTCCATGGCATTGCACAGCAAGCATGGCATAACAAGTCGTAGCAGGCCAGACCATACCAGCACATAGCTTTGCACATCATAACATGGCATGCCAGAACATATCATAGCAGAACACAGCATGACAACGCACGCTGTGACAGAGAAGAGCATATAGAACAGAGCATGCCACCACATCTCAAAACACAGCATAGCCGATCATACCATCACCTATGATGCCAGAGCAGAGCATGCCAATACGAACCATGATAGAACCCATGCGAACATGACAGCACAACTTCAGAGCCAATAGCATCCCATACCATTGCAGGCCATGCCAGATCATAGCATGGCACAGCGCGGCATAACACTATGTATTATAGCAGAACATAGCATAACATGCTACTATAAGCTGTGACACAAGGGAGCGTGCACATCACATCATGACACCACATTCCGTACCATCGCGTAACTGCGCATAGCAGTTCATACGATGACAACATCTCGTAACACAATATGCCATGGAAGACCAGCGCATATCGCAGCACAGCTCCACATCAACACACATTGCATTGCATGACACATCATACAATGACATATCGCGACATCGCACATTATAGCAAGCCGTAACACAGCACAGCAGAAAACAACGTCTAGCATGGCATAGCTTGCCAGTGAATCGCATAATCGGACACCTCATACCAACGCAAGCAGTGCCATGCTAGTGCATGCAAGCCATATTTGACCACAGTATTTCATAATACAGGATCTGGTCATGCCATTGTGTATCACAACTACACAGAGCGTTGCATGTCACGCATCGGCATACCAAATAATCACAGATCACAGCATTCCATAGCACCACACACCATACCATACCATATCGTGGTATACCTTCATATAACACAGCAGAGCCTGACAGAGCATGAAGTACCATGTCGTGACAGAACGGAACATAGCTGAACGCATCATCAATCAACACATACTATGTATGTTTAAGACACGTACACCATGCCATCACGGAGCAGATCAGGGCATAACGTCATAAATAATAGCACAGCGTCTCCGAAGTGTTTTGATTGTGTTTAGCATGGCGGTGTCGCATGCACGAAAACAGCGTAGGGCTTAACATTTCGCAGGGGTGTATCATGGGCATAACCAAACATATCACGACATAGCGAACACATCGCATGGACACCATTTTGACATACCGTACATGTTCAATTCCTGATACCACTACGGAGCCGAGTTTGCCAGACCACCATCTATGTGTATGTTTAATCCTTACGTATGCCATAACAGCGGGCCATCATATCCTGTGGTGTCACCAGCAACGCGTAGCAATAATCATTTGAGAAGACCAGAACAGAACATCACCTGCCAGGAACAGGAGGACGCACGCTCGACACATTGTTATACCGGACGTCCCCACATAAGGATGTTACGTGGCCAGCTGGATCAATGATCAGAGGCGCCTTCTCCCACTACTACCTTGAGCGAGTTGAGGGCACAACGCAATCACGATGTCCGCCTGGGCCCCCGTCGGGCGAGCGGAGATGCGAGCGCAGTGGCGCGCGCGGTCGCGCGCGACCCGCCGCTGGTAATAACGTGAATGCGCGGGCGTCGCGGCGACGACGACGGCGACGGCGACGACGACAGCGGCGCTTGCGCCGACGGTGACGACGACGGCCGCAACGGCGACGGCGGCGACGACGAACATCGTCGCGACGGCGGCGACGGGGCCCGGGCCCACGTGCGAACTTACACCCCGTCCTCGCTCCTGGAGTCCTGGGCCCGATTTTTTTTTGGAAGGGGCGAAATTTCTGCGAACAGTTTGACCCCAGCCATTCTTCCGCTTTGCTGAAGCTCTCTCTTCGCTTTCGTAAAACATCGTTTTTGTTCAGGAACGTATCGGGAAGCGCGCATTTTACGAACGCCGCTTCATCGCTTTAGTACAGCAGGTTCTCGCTTTAGTAGAGCCGCTTTTTTGGTGAAGTAAAGCCACTTCTTCGCTTTAGTGTAGTCCGCTGTCTGCCTTAATAAAGCGATGCGGAGGTGGTGGGGGGCCAGGACCGGGTCGGTGGGCGAGGGGGGCCGTGTCTTTCCTGCCACTACACCCCGCGATGAATTTGCTCGGATAGTCCAGGTCGCGTTGCATCGGGTCGCGGCGACCCTTGGGCTTGGTTTCAACGATTTGTAAATGCTTTTCGATAGGAGATTCAGGGCGCGAGCGCAGGATGTGGCTCGGCAGTTCGGACGCGCCGCCGCGGTTGTCGCGCAACAGAGCACAAGCACTGTACTAAAAGGCTTACTTCATTTAGCAAATACGTCCTTCAGAGTATTCGTGTAAACATTGTCCGCTTCCAAAGTGAGGCGCGCATTTAGTAAGACAAAAGGTGACCATGACCTTCATACGTTGTCATGGAATGGCTGGCGAATGAGAGTCGGGGAAGCAACGTGGAAAGGGACGAATGGTTGTACAGGGGCACGAACCATTTTAAACAGTATGGTACTCGGATTCCTTCTTCGCTCTGGCGGGGCCTCCTTGGAGGGGTGGGAGGGGCACGGAACCATGTAATGAGTAGTATGGTATGGTATTCCGATGCCCTCCTCGCTCTGGCGAAGCCTCCTTTGACAGTTGAGAGAGGGGGGGGGCGGCTGCCGCCCGCGCGGCGGCCCTGCACCTTCGCGAACGCGGTTGTACATCCAGGGTTGGACATGGCCGCCGCGAGCGCCGCACCCCTGCCCGCGCGCTCATTCGCACTGCTTTTTCCGATTGAATGGGGGGCCGTTGCCATCGTGCGCGCGGCTGCATCGCCGTCTCGCGCGTTGCATTTGTCAGTCTAGACGCGGCTGGGCCGCCGCGGGAGCGGCGGCCGTGCCCTTTGGCGCATTGAGGCGTTTCGCCCTACCCCCTCGCGCACTGCGCTCATCCGTTCAGAGAGACAGGGCGTAGCTCGCGCGGAGGCGCTGCCCCCTCGCGCAGTTTGTCGCTCTATGCAGAATTGGGCATCGCCGCCGCGCCATCTGCGGCCTTGTCCCCGCGCGCCTGGGGCGTCATCGTGCGGAATTGGCCAAGGCCGCCGCGCGCGCGGCGTCCGTGCCCGTTCGCGCACAAGGTTTTCACGCAGGCTGCACGGGAGCTACCCCGCGCGCGGCGGCCTTGCCCCTCGCCCATGGCGCTTTGTCCCGGACAGAACTGTTGCCCCCGCGCGCATAGATTTTTCCCGTGCTGAAGTCACAAGTGCCGTCGCGCGCGCGTGAGCCTTTCCCCTTCGTGTTTTCTTGATTGCAGCGTCGGCCAGGGCCGCCTCGCGCGTGGCGGCCCTGCGCCCTCGCGAAGTGTACGCTTCCATACAGAACAGGCCAGGATCGCCGCCCGCGCGGTGGCCCCACCCGTTTGTGCATCGAGACCTTCCATGCGGAATGGGCCAGGGCCGCCGCGCGCGCGGCAGCCCTGCGCCCTCGCACATGTAGGCCGGGGCCGCCACGGTCGCGGCGGCCCTGTTCCCCCGCGCACTGTGGTTTTGCGCAGCCTGAATGGGCCAGGGTCGCCACGCGCGCGGCGGCCCAGGTCGCCCGCGCACAGTGCTGTTTTTGAGAATCCGCCAGGGTCGCCCCGCGCGTGGCGGACTTGCCTTTCTGCGCATGATGCGTTTCCACGCAGAGTGGGCCAGGGCCGCCGTGCGCGCGGCGGCCTTTGCCCTCAACGCAGCGCTGTTTTGTCGATAGCAGGATGGGCGTACGTCTCCGCGAGTGCGGCGTCTTTGACCCATCGCGCTTTGCGCTGACGTATCAGAGCCGGCGGGGGCCGCCGCAAGTGCGGTGGCCCAGGCCCTTGCGCATGCTGTTTGTTTCATGCCCGCATGAACCAGGGCTTCCGCGCGCGCGGCGGCCCGCCAAAATCCCAACATGTGGTTTTCCAGGCTGAGTGCCGCCGCGGGGGCGGCGCCCCCCGAACCCCCCTTGGCAAACGCGCGAGGAGGGTTGGGGGGTCGCCACCCGCGCTTCGGCCTCCTGGAACCCGTCGATTGACCCTGCCGCGTGCGTCTTCGTTTTTTTGTGTGCTCGCGTTTTGTCTTCGAGGGCCTCTCGACTGACGGTTGTCCGTTCGCTGTGGGTCCCAGCACATGCTGCATGTCTCTCTCGGGGCCTCCCGCAAGAAGGCCCTTGCCTGTTCGCCAGTGTTTCGCGACTGTTTTGTTCTTTGTTTAGATTTCGTCGGTCCTGCCCCGGGTCTTTATTCTCCTTCCGTGGGCATCCCGCAGATTTCCCATCCTATCCGTTAGGGCCCCTTGCAAACCTTTTCGTTGCCGCGCCGAGGGGGTTCATGCAGTGGCGCCAGAGCAGCCCCTGACGTCGTGGCAAGCTGTTCGTCGAAGCCAGCGCGCCGCGCACTTTCATTGGACATATGCCTTTTTAAACTGCTTCGCCCGGATTGCAGGGGCCCCTGTTCGCAGCAAGCATGCAGACCCCGCCGGCCCTAACAATTTGGGAGAGGCAGCCCCAGGGAAACGGTATCGGTTTCCATTTGTCCCCCCGTGCGGGGGCCATGAAAGAGATCCGAAAGACGGGGGTGCCGGGGTGCTGTCCTATCTGCTAGTTCACTCCTGGGCCCTCCAGGCCAGAATTCACCGTCACGCTCCTCTTGCTTAAACGTTTGCTTAAACATAGCCGAGGGCATCCCATCATAGCGGCCATCACAACTGTTCTAACGCGTCGATCGCCGCGCTCGGACAGTAGGGTCAAGATGATCTTGCGTGGTGGCGCACGACCGACGTTCAAAGCATGTATCCTCCGACAGGCCCTTGTCCCTACAGAATTAGTTCTTCCGTCGCAGGCTGCACAGCACTAGGCTTGTGCGTGCGATCGTGGACCCCGCGCGCCCTCGATGTGAAAGTGTGTCGTGCAAGCTCTGTGGTGCAAGCAGTGGCACTCGACTTGTGGAGGTGTAGCATGGGGGTTGCGCAAGGTATGTGGCGCAACCTACATGGTGGGCCTGTTTTCCATCACCACCACGACGATAAGTTGGAGGGGGGGAAGAGGTGGAGGAGGAGGAGGAGGAGGACGAAGAGAAGGAGGAGGAGGAGGAGGAGGAGGAGGAGGACGACCCCCTCCCCCTCCTACTTATGGTGGTAGCGGTGGAAAACAAGCCTATCATACATGATGCCATCTACGCGTGCATGTGGAGACGCCAGCCGGCGCACGGGGGCGCCCACGAGGCCACCATGTGGGCGGGCATCGGGCGGACAGCTTGGAAGCCCCAGCCGTGCAAGAGGTAAACGACGTACTGGCCCTTGGTGCATGTAGTTCTGTTGGGAGACGAGAGCGACAAAGAAACAGAGAGAGAGAGAGAGAGAAAGACAGAGAGAGATAACAGAGAGAGAGAGAGAATAAACATATAATTATATGTACATACATGTAATACTTACATCGGCGATGGACCCCACCAGATACAGCTGCGAGCACCGCGAGGGAAGCGATAGGCAGAAAGGGGGCGAGTTGGGGCTTTCGGTGGGTCCCTTATTGGGACCACGATGCGCGTGAGGGCTGTGCCGACGTGGTCAGGAGCAATGATAGGGGAGGATACGCATAGAGGGGGGATGCATCGACCCCCTATCGCCCATTGATCGCCTATAGGGGCCCGATAGCCCCAACCTGCCCAGGAAGGTGCGAATCCACTATCGGGTGCATATCGTCGATCTATCGGCGATGTATCGCCGATTCCAGGTCGATGCATCCACCCTATGCCAGTCCCCCCCTAGCGTTACCCCCCACGTGGTGCCGCAGCGGGCACGCCATGCGAACCCTGCCACTGGGGCCTTCGGTGGAGCTCTGTAATGAATCACGACGCGTGTGCGGGATGTGCCGCATTGGGGGGCGGGTGCGCCATACGAACCTCGATATTGTGGTCGTAAGTGGGGCTCGCTATGGGGTCACGAAGCGTGCGAGGGGTCCACTGGCAGTAGGTGGAGCTCCCTCTGGGGTCGCTGAGCATGTGAGGGGTGTGCCGACTTGATGGCGGCCACGTTCACGCGGACCCCACAACGGTTGCCGCTTGTGGAGCTCCCGTTGGGGCCACGATGCGTTGGAGGGGTGTGATGAATGCAGGGAGGATTCGCCACGCGAGCCCTACACCTTAGGCGATGCTTAAGAAAACTTAAGTTTTCGGCGAGAGTCTCGATTATTCTTAACGTTTCAATGTAAATCTCAAGATTTTAATCGAAACCTTTCTGGTTTTTAGTCAAGTTCTGAGACTATGCATTTCTTAACCCATGATTTCTTAGGCATTTCGCAGGGTGTACCACCGCAGCCTTCGGTGAAGGCCCCCTCCCGGGGGCCACGCGGCGTGTGACGGCGGCGGAGCGACGGGCCCCGGCGCGCGCCCGGGGGTCGCTCTCGGGCGCGCGCGGGGGGGGGGAGGTGACCGACTTCGGCCTGGCGCGCGTCGTGGAGCCCCACGACAGGAAGGCGCTGACGTCGTTCGTGGGCACCATCCACTGGACGGGGAGGGGGAGGGGGAGCGGGAGGGGGGAGGGGGAGGGGGGAGGCGGGGGGGGGGGGGGGGGACCGACGGGAAACGGGAAAGCGCAGTCTGTCCCGCGTCCTTGGCCTTCAGAGGGCCTCCAGGAGGCGGAGAGCAAGCAGAAGCGGGAGGAGAAGGAGGAGGAGGATGAGGAGGAGGAGATTCGAGGATCGAGGAGGATCGAGGATCGAGGTTCGAGGTTCTCAATTCGGGAATCTGGGAGGAAGAATTCTTGACGCTTCTCGTATCCCCACCAGCCCATCCATAATTGATTGCAAGTTTTCTTGAGGCCTCTTGGAGGCTATCTTGAGCCATGCTCGGCTAGAGGCTGTCGGAGGCTATCTTGAGCCATGCTCGGCTATCTTGGGCCATCTTGAGGCTGCCTTGAGGCCTCTTGGAGGGCTGTCGGAGGCTATCTTGAGCCATGCTTGGCTATCTTAGGTCATTTTCTGGGGCTCTCTTGGAGCCATCTTGGGCCAAAAAGGGCGGGGTGGAGGGTCTTTGGGAGAGGCTGGGAGGCCTCTTGGGGCCATCTTGGGCACCATGGCTCAAAAAGAGGGGGGGGAAATTCGCCCCCCCCCCCTCGGAGGCTCTCAAACAGCATCTTGGGGCCCTCTTGGAGCGCTCTTGGGCGCCTCTTGGGCGATCTTGGGGCCGTCTTCGGCCTTCTTGGGTCCATCTTGGGCCTCTGTTGGGCCATCTTGGGGCCATCTTGAGGCTTCCAAAGCCCATCGGCAGCGAAAGGGCGATAATGCCAAAAACATTGATTTTCCCTAGGCTTTTGAACGGTTTTGGCATCTTGGAGGGCGCCGTGGAGGGCTCGAAGGGCACTTGGATCCGTCTTCGGGCTGTCTTGGGGCCTCTTGGGGGTATGTCGGAGGCTATCTTGACCCATCTTGAAGTAGCATGGGCCATGCTGGAGGCCACTTTGCGACTTCGAAGCCCTCTTGGAGCAATCTTGGGCCATCTTGGACGCTCTAACGCCTCGGTACCCCCCCCCTTCCTGGCCCAGGGGAGGGGGTAGAGGGAGGGGTTACAGTGGAAGAGAGAAGAACAATCGCGTTATACCACCCAAGCCCAGAGGGCTGGTGGGATTCGTCCCCTGGGGGGCCCCTCTTCGGACTCCGGAACAGCCGCCGGGCTCAAGCATTGGCCAGGGTGGACAAGGAGGGTTCTGGCGACCGAATCGAGCGGAGTCTGGTCGGGAGGGGGAGGACGAGGGGCAGGAGGAGGAGGAGGAGGAGGAGGAGGAGCAGGAGGTGACGCTGCGGGCGGGCGCAACCGCGCGCCCTCCAGCCTGTGCAACAAAGGGGGATGAGCGGGCACGCGATTTTTGCTGTATCCAGGACGGGTAGGAGCGATTGCCAAGCGAGCTGCAAACAGCCGCCCAGAAAGTCGTCGTTTTCTTATTCATTGTTTTGCCGATCGGCGTCGGCCCTCGCCCCCCCCCTCCCCCCGCGCGGAGTAGATCTTGGCTGTTTTTGGCGCCTGTTTCGAGCAGGTGGAGCCTCCCCCATAATGGACTAATGGACGGAATGCTGCAAACAGTCGCACTAAGCAGAGGTCTGGAGCCACACCAACCTCCCCCCCCACTTTCCGCCCAATGTCGAAACGCCGAATAAAAAACACGCTCACAAAGAACTGTAGAGCACCAGCCACATCCAGAAATGATGCTTTGGCACGTAGCCATGATCAATGTGGTGTCGGAGCACGCATGAAGGATCGGGAACATACGTTGCCATGATAGAGGTGGTGTCGGAGTCCGCATAAAGGATAGAGACATATGGTGACTTGAGCATCACATGTTCCCATGTCGCAGCGGCTATGTTGGGCTGCATTGGCGATTCGTCTGGCAAGAACCCCCCCCTTCAAGTGCCTCGATAACGAGTCCAGCACCCAGACGCGTCATCTTGGCACCCTGGCCCTTGGCTGGCCGTGTCTTAGCATTCCCCTGGAGCCCCCAGCAAGCCTCGAAAGTGGCGAGGAGGAGGAAGAGGAGGAGAAGGAGGAAGAGGAGGAGTAGGGAGGAAGAGGCAGGGAGAGGAGGAGCTTCATTGGTGCTATTGGTACTACCATGGGGTACTTCCACGGGGAAGCTGCGGACGGGAATGGATACATTCGACAAGTTTGCTGCGGCTGCTTAGTAGCAGTAGTAGTAGTAGTAGTAGTAGTAGTAGTAGTAGTAGTAGTAGTAGTAGTAGTAGTAGTGGTAGTAGTAGTAGTAGTAGTAGTAGCAGTAGCAGTAGCAGTAGCAGTAGTAGCAGAAGTAGTCGCAGTAGTAGTGGCGGTAGTAGTAGTAGTAGTAGTAGTAGTAGTAGTAGTAGTAGTAGTAAAGGTAGTAGTAGTAGCAGTAGTAGTAGTAGTAGTACGCCTTCTACTACTACTACTACTACTACTACTACTACTACTACTACCACTACCACTGTTACCACTGCGACTCCTACTACTACTACTTCTATTACGACTACCATTTCATG